TACCACGGAGACGAGATATAGCGCTTTTGGTCGCGAGCTGCTAGCAGCCTACTGCGCCATCAAACATTTTCGGCACGCAGTAGAAGGACGTCGATTCATTTTATTCACCGACCATAAGCCCTTAACGTATGCTTTGCATACCAAGTCTGACCGCTACTCACCACGAGAGTGCAGACATTTGGACTATATCTCCCAGTTCACGACAGACCTTCGTCACATCCAAGGCAAGTCGAACTGTGTTGCCGATGCTCTATCACGAATCCAAATGAATGCAGTTACCCTGCCGGTGCTCGATCTTCCTGCTATGGCCGCTGCCCAAGCAAACGATCCCAGCTGTACAAAGCACCACACTCTACGTCTCTTCAGTATCAGGAAGTACCTCTAGCCACGACTTCTGGCACCATTCTATGTGATACGTCTACCGGTCTTCCTCGACCCATCGTACCCTCTGCTTATCGCCGTCTCGTTTTCGATGCCCTGCATGGATTATCTCACCCAGGTATCGCAGCTACATTACGCCTCATCGCTGCACGATACGTCTGGCCGTCCATGAATAAAGATGTTCGTATGTGGGCTAAGCAATGCTTACAATGTCAACGATCAAAAGTGCACAGGCACGTAGCCGCCCCCCTCGGTACATTCGCTACGCCTGATGCTCGCTTCGATCACGTTCACTTAGACATTGTAGGACCACTGCCACCATCGCACGGGTATGATCACATACTCACGTGCATCGACCGCTTCACCAGATGGCCCGAAGCTATACCCATCACGTCTATCACGGCGGAGACAGTTGCTCACCGCTTCGTAGAACGATGGATAGCTCTATATGGTTGTCCCTCGACTGTCACGACTGACCGAGGACAACAATTTGAGTCCGCACTATTCTCCTCACTTACTCGGCTGCTTGGTACGGAACGAATACGCACTACCGCCTACCATCCAGCTTCAAACGGTTTAGTTGAAAGGTTTCACCGGCAACTTAAAAGTGCTCTTCGAGCACACGAAAACGACGACTGGTACGAAACCTTACCGCTCGTTCTTTTAGGTATCAGAACGAGCTTAAAGGCAGATATCCAATGTTCCGCCGCTGAACTTGTATACGGCACGACATTGCGTCTGCCCGGGGAATTCTTCACACCACGGAGCAGACCTAATTTCGCTAAATCAGACTACGTCCAACGACTGTCTGCATTTATGCGAACGCTGTCTCCGGTGTCAACTCGAATACAACATCGACAGGTCGCTCTCCCTCGAGAGTTATCTACCTGTTCACATGTTTTCATACGAGTAGATTCGGTACGCAAACCTTTGCAACAACCTTACGAAGGCCCTTTTCGCGTGATCGCTCGTCACGAAAAGACCTTCAAGGTTGATCGACACGGCCGCGTCGAGATCGTCAGCATTGATCGTCTCAAACCAGCACACGTCGATGACAGTGCCCTATCTGATAACCTGAGATTCAATGCTAGACCAAGCAAACCTACTAGCGGGATCCTCAAACCATCTTCAGGTCCCACGCTAGATGCACCTGAGACCTCACTCTCACGTCCCAGTCAACAGCACGCGTCATCTGCACCGTCTACGGACGAGACGACAGTCTCACGTCCAGATCAGCAGACCACGCCGCCCTTGACTTCGGATGAGATTGCAGGCTCACGCGACGCGAACGAGACTGCCGTCTCACGTTCCGGTCGCCGAGTACGGTTACCCGTACGCTTCCGCGACTAGTCGCACAATCAACAACCGATACGGTGTAGGGTTATTCCTATACTACACGCATGCTACACTCTTCTCTTTTTTGATTTTCTTTTTGTTTCCTGAGCCCACGCCTTCGACCATCTCCGTTTGGTTCCGTCGACTTCAGTCAACTTTGGCGAAAGCTGGATTGGCCACCCACGCTCTTGTCAACGTACTCAGTCGATATCTTCGTTTCGAATGTTTGGCACACGCTTGGTCTCGAACTTGGTCGTTATGGTCGCTTCTGGTTCATCGGATCAACGTGGTTTCGTCCTACGTCTGCAGCGTTTCTGGTCCGGACCCCTACGAACGCCATCTTCAGATTCTGGATACAAACCACTCTGGTGTAGCATGCCAACTCAAACAATAAATACAACACATCGCTCCTGGTACCGTTCTCCGAAAACGACCTACGTTGGCAACTCGACGATCAACGATCGCTTTCCTGTTCGCCAATTCTTCCGTCCTACAATCGCTCGTCAGCCGATCAGTCCCACGATTCAAACCGCTATTTATCGAAAGTGTAAACCCTTTCTAGCGGGGGGCTCCTGTAGTGACTCACATTTATCACGAGAACACGACTGGTTTAATAAAAACAATTATTATTATAACCAACTGTACCAGTGTTTGTTTTAATGTGCTTTTGTTTAACTGTGCTAATTATAGCCATTTTGTGCTTCCATTACCTTCCATCATTGTTCCGCGGTTTTTGGTACTGTTCGCACGTACTCCTGTCTTCTGCTTCCACTTGTACCACTTCTTGGCACGATCTCGGTATTCGTTCAATACCACGAGATCGCCAACGAAATAAATCTGGTTACGTTCAACCTCGCCTTCTGATTTGTCTGGCACGTGTTTCTTGGTAGCGGTGTTCACAGTTAATCTCAACTCGACGCCACGCTACAAACTGATCTAAAGAGTGGCAGATGCATTACCCGTGGTCCGGTCTCATAAGGATCTTAAGGCAACAGTGAGTCATGATCTTAAGACGACGGCCCGTTGCCGGGAAGTCTCAGCTAACTGGTTTAGAACGCTCCGGGCTTTAAACGGACATTCATCAAGCTAGATTCTATCATGTTCACTACAGTACACACAACCTTAGTGAGAACTAAGGTTGAGAACTGTGCTCAGGCTGCAAGCCCCTGTTTAACAGGTGACACAGACATCCTGGAAAATATGCAGGGGGCAGCCATCCGTTCAATTTCAGAACTCCTAAGTTTACAATACAAAGAGCGGCTTGAAAAGCTGGACCGCTTTACTCTGTAATATTGCAGACTAAAGGGAGATTTAATCTTGATGTATAGAATGCTAAGAAATAATTTCGGGCCTAACATATTCTCCCTTTTTCTTCCCACTAGATCGGGACATCTCATAGAACATAGCAGGCGAGTAGAAAAGCCAAGAAAGAACAAAGCATACAGGTTTTCACACCGAGTATTAAAAACTTGAAACCTGTTACTTGAAGCAGTAGTGTCTGCACCTACAGTTGACTCTCTCAGGAGAAGACTACACACTCACAGAAACACACTGGAATAAAACAATATAGTTTGTAGACCTTCTGTCCTTACTACACAAATCTGAATCTTTTTGTTGTTTAGACACACTACTAATGAAGGCCGAGTAATTCCTCCTAGTTCGAATGTAGTTCGCGTAACACGTTCGAGGTTGTCGAAATCAACGGTAAAACATAGTATAACGACAGTCTGAGTTGACCGGTCGAAATTCATATAATACCTCAATTATTTTGCTGAAAGTTTAATGCTTAGTGATGGGTAACGTATATGTCAATAATAGCCAATGAATACTGGTAATATTTAAATATTACCCATTGGTTATTAGAATGTTTATAATCACTGAGAATATCTATTATACAGTGACAAAGTGAATTCTAGATGGTGCATTAGCTAAATTAAATGGTATATTGCTTCTAAACCAGCATACTTAATCTAATTCACCGTCTAATCACAAGCGTTTAGTAAAGCTAGATAGTGTTCTCCCTTTCTCTATCATGTTCTAAATCTCACAAGTTTGCAAACAGGAAAGTGGTACAGCATGGCGTTATATCTGACGTCAGTTTTTGTTGAAAACCGATACGAATCCGTCAACCCAATTTTGAACTCCAGTTTAACTCTTACTAACTAACCACTTTTGCTTCATAAATGATGTCGGTTTGTGATGAAAAATCTATAGGTTAATAACCCAAACTCTCGATAATAGCGTGTACGTATACATGTAGACTTGATCTCTTTTCTTTACCCAAAGGGATAATATGACTTGTGAGGGTTAGTTATTACGATCAAAGCTGTCATTGCACTAATATTTCATTACTTTGCTTTGCTTATTGTTTTGTAACTGCTCAGTGTCTCATAATTGGATGATAAGTTGTTCAAGGTCGTCACCGTAATTTAATTTCACCACATCAACTCGTTCCGATTAACAGAATGTCGCACTCGTGTTATTTCTGGTTGTTGTCAAATGCTTTTGTTATTAAATGCAAGTGAATTTTGTGTGCCTAGTGACTCGTCGGCACGTTTTTTTAATCATGTTTTCTGCGCCAGTTGACCTCACTTACTACTCCTAACACTCCCCCAAACACAAGATGCCTTCAGGCTATACGCAAACCTACTAAAGACTGAACGTTATATTGCATGTAGTATAGTGGTGTGGCGACTCTTGGTGTTTGTGTACTTCGAAAAATAACTAACTGACCATTTAATGCGGAGTATTACAATAAGCGTCAAAGGTTCAAACTGTGTCACTGAACCTCCCAAAGATGTTTTATCATCAAAAGTTTCGCAAATGAATCTATTCTGAAACTTTCTCCACTCCCACTTTTAATTACGAAATTGTTTCAAATTAACGATTGTACAGATTCCCATGTGTATACTTTCAGCAATCCTTCAACATCAACGTTTATATGGCTCAGATACAGGACTATCATAATCTGGACTCTAAATTTGGTTTTATAGGCAAGATTTGACGTGTTCTATGTTATGATGATGTGCAAATCCTTTTATAGAGATTATACAATACACTTTGGGTGCATATAAACTCTCGGATAATATTTTCTCTCCAAATCAGATTGGATGACTTTAAAAACATATTGTGTTACGCATACACATGTTTATATTTTCCAGTTGCTTTCGTTAATAAATAGATTGTTGACTGACACTTTCATGTTTTCTCTCAGATTCTCGCTCTAAAACTACGAAATGCTCTCATGTTAAACCCGAACCTGCTAGCAACTGAACCTCGCTTAAATGTCATTCACAACTGAACGCTTACGTCAGTCCGTTCTCAGAGAGTTCGGAAGGGTCTTCTCTCTGGTAAAGTAATTTTCAACTCATAATGATTAGATTGTAGTTGCCAGGGCAGAAGATTCTTCTTGTGGATGCGCAGCTGTTGAAAGCAATCGACCGTGTGGCCAGCATGTCCATTTTAAGACAGTTGTCGGTCACGAAGGTGTTCAAAATTGCCGAAAATCCTCCGAAGGCGGACTATGAGAGGTAAGTTAGTTTTTTTCAAGGTGTATTTGTTTTGTTGGATAACATAGCTTTCCTGTAGTATTTTGAACCAGCTATATTACTACGATTGTTTAAGCAAGCAAATGAAGTATCAAATTGAGTTGATACATATTTATGGCATGCCCTGCGTTGTACATTATTGACTGATTTAGGATATGACTAAAAACGAAAGGCCCTCATTTCCGATGCTGAAGAATAGGATCTCGAGACACTTAAGTCCTTGTCGATCGGATTTGTGACTAGATAATTTATCTTGAATGCTAGCAAGTTTGGTAGTAAGCTTTCTCCAATGACTCACTATAACCTTTTGTCCTCATCTACATTTTTATTTCCGGGAAATTCGCCAACCAAATTCCATCGTATTAAACTGCCAACTAACATTTGATGGAGTTGTAACTACGCATCAACCTCTGACCAATTTTGAACATAACACTGCTTCGGCCCGCTCTCGGGACCAATGTGCTCCCAAAGTTCGTTCAGTCAATTAAATATTCTATCTTGGTGTTAAAACTTCAAAGTTTACTCGTAGTCTAATTACTCATCACATTAAGCTAGCTAAAGTGAAGAAAAAGACTCTCTTTCACATCGTCCTATCCATGAACTACGTATCAAATTACCACCTTAGTACCAAGTTTATTTCCATCAGTCATAATGATTATTCTATGGGTTTGCAGATTAACACAGCTCTCAACATCAAGTCTTGGTGATTTACAGGTGCATAGAATATCTCAGGTACTTATCTTAGTATACTTAAGGCATCTTAGGGACTGAAATTTAAACGAGTTCTATATGCTTTTGTCTTACAGTTTCACTAATATGAGATTTTTTATCCGATTTAGGATTGCTTATATGGTCCCACCAGAGTTTAGCTCATGCTTATCGGTAATTAAACATTGTGAAGTGGATCAATCGAATAATATCAAACGAACGAGATTGATAATATTTGTTCCCAAAGAGGTATCTAACGTTTCTGTGGTTAATTGCTTAGAACATTTATATATTACACACTTTTCTGCTTGATTTTCTAAGGACTCTTCTCTCAAGTATTTGTTAGTGTGATTTCTGGGTTAAGTACGCAAGCACTCGTCATATACTTGACAATTTATGTGAAAATACGACATTTTCGCTTCACATCCCTTTTAATTTACTATCTAGAAAGGTTATTTAAACAATCAACAAAATTTTTAAGTGAAGAATATAGGGAAAGCCTAATCATCATCCATATCCCGAAAATTTGTTATTTTAGGCTAAAGAAATGGATTTCCGCTTCACCACAGTGTTTTACTTTCATGCTACGATCGACAAACATAACTGTAGATATAATCGTTAATTTTATATAATTAGACTTCAGTTTCATGCACTTCATCATGATTGATAGTTGATTATCAATTTAAGTCTGCTTATCCATTAAACTGGTAGTTTCATATTTGACAGTCACTCGGATATCTATTACTGGATGAGAGTTTTGACTAAGTTAGCAAAACTTAACAGTGGATAAAAGTTTCAGCTTTCAGCCACAAAGTTTGAACCCTACTCCACCTACTTCGGTTTGGGCAACTGAGTAGTATCATCACCCTTCATACTTCGTGTGGCTGATACCCAAATACCTTAAGAATGAGTTATTAACCATATTATTCATTCCTCGTGTAAGGGATTATCGGGGTGAAAATCATATCCCTAAGATTCGAACGAAACATTAAACTGAGACTGATCGCTAAATAAAAAAATAAATTGAACAATTGGGAGACATCACTGCTATCCGCATAGAAGATGAATTAATGGCATGTTTTGATGTATGCTCTTTGCTCACCAACGTTCCTATTAAGAAAGCTCTAGATATTGTACATAATCTTTTAGATTCTGACACAGCTTAACGATATCCATTAGGTCCCTCAGATAATATTAAAGTGCTGGATCTATGTTTACATTCCACTGTTTTCAATTTTCGATGAGATCTGTACAGACAAACAAAGGGTATAGCTTTGGGATCACCGGTTTCTCCAATTGTTGCTAACTTATCCATGCATTCATTGAAAACAAATGCAACCTCAATGTGCTCTCTTCCACTAAAAGTTGAGATACGTGGATGACACTTTTATCATTATAAAATGATATGGTTTAAAAGAAATGTTTAGGCAAGTCAACACCGTTTCTGACAAAATCAAATTCACAAGGAGTTGGAATCTTCTGAACGCAAATAACCTTTTCTAGACTGTTTGCTTGAAAGGAAAAATAACGATTGTTTAAAAATGAGTGTATTCCGATAGCCAACATATTCAGGGATATTTTTAGGTCATAAGTCAGCACATCCTACACATATGGGCAGATCCAAACAGTATTAATAGGGGAGATGGAATAAAATTAGCTGTACCATGGTAACTAATAATTAATGAGTAAACCTGAACTCCTTATTCCATTTTATCTATCTTATATGAATAACAGCAATTACATCCAACGCTCCTAATCAGTTGTCTTATTTGAATGTGTTAAACAATTAACTGAAACAATGATAATAACACAAACATTCATTTACAAATACATTCTTCCTCTTTAATTCATGCCTTTATTTTGTTTATTTATCTTCATTTTATACATGCTATGACATATATGATTCATATCATATATAAGACTTGTATATTTTCACCGATCAAAGGCAATATATAGTGAATAAAATTTCTCACACTACTTACAAATACACAAATCTGTTATCCTAACACACTTCGTTTCATATCACATGTCTCTTACACATTGAAGAGAATGCCAACTTTAAACATTGGTAACGTTGTTTGGATGACCTGCTTCGGTCTGGGCACCCGGGCAGTATCCCAACCCTCACACAAATCGAATGATTTACGTGGCGCATATGTATTTGGTGCCTCCTTGTACCAATGTTTATGTGTTTAAATAAATAAATTTAGTGGACATTTACCCAGAGAACCATGTATTTATTTATATTCGATAATTCTGATATTTGATTATATTTGCTTGAAAAAGCTTGAACTAGATTGCCGGGCGAAACGTTGTATTTGCTTCAAATTTATTCGCTGAAATTTTACAAGTACGTTATTCCTCTCTAATGGAAGAAAATGAGTTATTAAAAAAGAAAAAAAACCTAATCGAGTACCAAACATGCAATAAACTTATGCACAGCAAATCAAATCTACCTCGCACGTTTGATCAAGGAAAAAGTATTTACTTCCTTTGTTATTTCCGTCTTATCATGTTTTGCTCCCGATGTATCAACTAAATGTATGCTACTAACGATAAGGGAAACAAAATGAAGTGATCATGTATGGCGTTCACATGGTTCACATCCTCTAGGTGCTTTAAACTATCTACTAGCAACCAATCTCAATAAAATTAATATGTTATTTAATATTATTTAATGCTCGTAAATGTTAAGTGATTATTACTAAGAAAATATAGCCTACTACATGAATGTCTATGTGTAGTCACATTATAATTTAAGTAAACTCTTAGTCTAAACTTCGAGTTTAATTCTAACCTAAAGTTGGTGAAAATTAAGCATACGATACTACCATTCCATATATTCTAATTTAAATATCCCGTTTTGATTTTAACAAACTTTTTCATTTTTTAGACTGTAGCAGTGACCTATCTTTTGGAATCTCGAGGTTTTCTTGGTCGACATTTATGTACCACAAGTTTATCACTCAGTTGGATTCAATTAGATACAGATTTGTTAACACTAAATTTGCCGACGCTATTTTCAGACTACTATTTATACAAAGATTATTGTTGGCCTCATTATATGGGCATGGAGTTGGGACGTTTGCTTAAATTAACGAGTGAAAGTGATTTAGCTCCCATGGGTTGTCGAGTAAGTCTATAATATTATTTACAAAAACATTGATGATAGATTGCTCCTAGGTAAAATAAAAAAATTGTTGTCATCGTAGTGTTTTACCTATAATAAGCATTTATATAATATGATTGTACAAACGGATCTTTTAAGCAGCTCACAAACAAATTAATTGTGCAAAACCAGAGACTAGTATGTTTGTATGATTTTTATGTTAGTCTATTGATGCCGCTTTTGTGATTAAACTTATTTGTCATTTCATCAGATTATCATGCTTTGTTATATTAATGTCGTCTGTATTTCTAATGGTTTTTGACCTTTTCGGGGCTAGTTTGTTATTTCACATGATATAATGTTACACTATGGCTTAATTAACTCTCTTGAAGATATTATTGTCCATAGTCGTTTCAAAGCAATCACACAATTTTTAGACTTAATTTTTAATCATCGCATTTTTTAATTCCCTGTTTGACTGGGGTAATGTGGTTTTTCAGATTCCTGAAAATAAGTAGTGCATCATCGTAATAGGATTCTTTAGTTGTTAACTACATAAACAATGATTTAGTAGTCGAATTATTCTTGGATTTATCTACATTACTTTCTAAATTTTGTTTCATCTCACCCTTCTACATCATAAAGTGTCTATGAACATTATTGTAACCGAAATTTTGTTTCGATTACTGATTTTAAAAGTTTATCATTTTATCACTCGTACTTCAGTAATATTGAATTCATATCTGGTAGAATATTCACTTCTGACATTTAAATGTGTAGGTAGAATTTTTCACTCTGTTAAGTTTTGGTTTAAGTTAACACGTAAATTTTATCAATATATTATAAATCACAGCGTTTTTAAGATTAAAAATTGAGTTTTTATTGTAAATTTATAACGTGATGTATTTGTAAAAACCCTTTAATAAGTAACTAGACTATTTGTGATAGCCTAAGTTAAAATGAGCTTTATTGTTGATCCACAGTTATAGGTCATAGGTAGGAGAGCATGACTTAAAATGTGTCGCAGTAGTGTCAATGTACTTCCTTTCCTTACTCTAAGTAGTAAACATCTGATTACTATATATCCTCGATTCTATATCATAAATTGATTCCATTCTTGTAATCCTTTGTAGAGGCTAGTATCCTCTATATCTGACTCTAATAAATAGTATCCCGTTAGCTGAGTATTTAATGCAGGCTAAATCTCCTAGTAGAATTATGGATTTACTCGAGATTATTCAAAAGCCCGAACATCAGTTATAGAGATAGTTTGTTGTTAAGGATTGGTAAAATTCGCAAGTGTACACGAAGCAAGCACACAGGGAAAACAAGAGTGTATGTGTGTGAGTGTGAGTGTTAAAAATCCATATATATTTTTAAGTGTTAATCAAGTATGGATAAATTATTGATTGTCTGTGTATTACAACCAATAGCAGAATAGATTAAAAATTTGCATGTGCTCAATCAGACTCACATAAAATTACATGGTGGATCAAGTGTCTAACTTACAATGAACAGATAGATAATACAGTAGTGGAATAGGCTTACTACACCTTTACCATCGTCAAGTCACTGTTCCCTCTTGTTTTCAACTAAACATTTATCATAGCAGTTGTTCAACAGTAAATATAGACATGTTTTATTAATCTTAGTGCTTGTCTTCACTAACCACTAGATTCATGCTTTCGGAGAGGCGTCCCATGTGGTTGCTGCTGGTATTCGTTTATACTGTATTCAGTCAGGTCTGGTCAGTTTGGATAGGAAGGTTTCAACTGTTAATGGTACCCAGTCAAATTATCGAAGTAATGCATCTGTTTCTGATGAAAGTGTCTTAACTCCTACCAGCTCATTAAAAATTCTGGGCTCACAATCATCATCTACATCATTGTCAACTACTTCTGCACGTCCACCACCTTTGGTTCTTGTATTCAGTCGTGGTTAGTTCTCATACATTTCCTTTTGTGATTCTTTTAAAAATAATACGGAAAATTAGTCATTATTTACATTGCCATAGAGTCTAATCAGTGTGAACCTTTTTTTCGAAATAAATTACTAAACGGTGTTTTAAGGCCAGTATTCAAACGGTATGTATAATGGGTGCTCTTTTGCTCTTTCAAGAAGACGATGATCTGATTGGCAGGAAATACCATGAGGATACGATTACTTACAACTTTAAAGGATTCTACCCATTGCTAATTTTTTTTTACAATAACGACATCTCATGATAGCTAAATCAAAACAACACTAATTCATAAGGTTACTGACCACTATCCTGAATTGTATGACTTGAATTCTCAATTGAGATCATAGTGATGTTAAGAATCAGTAGTTTGAAAATATGATTTGTTTGCTTTTATTTCCTGAAGTCTTATTGCATTTTGTCTGTGTTACTTATCTACTCATTTTATCGTTATTCTTGTTCTCTGTATTTTTTTTACTGTTGAAAAATTTCAGTGTCTGTGCTTTTTGGTTTGTAGTGGTTTTTCAGATTATGTCAGTTCATAATATAAAAACTTCGAGGTTTACGAATGCCTAATAAGCTCTCCCAGCTGAAACTAATGGTTTCATAAAATACAACTTGCTTTAGACTTGGAACGGTTGTTTTCATTGTAAACAATAAAAACAAAATTATACTTTAAAAATAAATTTCTATCAAAACGACTGAGAAAGTAATAGTAAGTAAATAAATGCAACCTAACCAGCTCATGCTTTAAGGTCTTGAGCTTGATTTTTCAGTACTATAATACTAACCATGTAATTTTGATTCAAGGTAATGGCTGGTATTCTCATCTGCAGCTTCCATTCCGTCATGTGTAAGTTAAGCCATTTTATCAATATGTATCACAACATTTTTTAGTGTTTGCAATAATACTATATCCTAATATCCAACACTCCATCTGATTGGTAGTAGGTATTAGTTTCTATTCTAGTTTGAAATCTCACTTTTTTAGCGGATTAAATCGAAAAGTGAATGGGGTGATGGTTTGAACTATTGCGTTGGAGTTTAGAAGCTTTAGTCGATGAACTGCTGCTTTGCTACTGAAAATCTATATGAGTTATATTGTAAATCATGGGAGTTGTCTTCACAATTTGGCGCAAAATTCAGTGGATTATTGAATATTAACTTTTGTACATTAACGATATTATTGGTAAAACATGTTTGATTGTTACTATGGGACATAACTTTTTTGCTTTTTTCAATAATCAGTGAAAAAATAGGTTATAAAGGGATCACATCATTATTATACTAAACACACTTTTAAGAATTGAATAAAATAAATTTAACCTCAGTTTTCTTCAAATAATCTGACATTGAGAATATATATTGCCATTTACGTAGTGTAAAATATTATTACTCTATTCTTCGGATAGTTCAATCCACAGTTCATGCACAAATCTTTCTTGTTACGAAGATTAACTGATTGTAGATTTTATTTCTATTTGATCCCACAGATCTGGATTACGTAACTCCCCTTTTGGTTCCGATGACATTTGAAGCTCTGATTCACGAAGTTGTTGGGATAGAATTAGGTATATTAACGTGGAGTTTTTATTTTTGCTTACTACTTATTTAAATATTTCTTCTTCACTATTAGGTTTCATCATTTGAAATATCTAATCTTTTATCATAGAACTTTTACAGTTTAACTATGATGTGCACAGCTGCACGTTGTATTCTTGTGTGCATATTTATAACTGCAGCTTACAAAATGTTTAGCTTGGCTTGACTATCCCATCGGAATTGTTACCCATGTTTCCAAAAAGAATGTTGCACGAAATACTTCCAGACTATTGAATCTTAGCTTATTTCGTAGTAATTCTTTTAAGTAAACCTATCTAAATTTCCTAGTTAAATATGCTTTGTTCACTCATCAGTGGGATTCATTTGTTGTTTGAACATATTGTTGATCATAAACATTTTCAGTTTTCTATTCGTTTACGTAAGTTGGCGCCTTAAATTTCTTATTCAATACTTTGAATTCCCTTATGGCTGAACGTTCCAATTTTTTAAAGGTAACCTGAAGAATGATAGGTGTTAATTGTTTTATCCATTATAGTCAGAACGTGAAGTATTTTGCGGTTGTTTGCTCTGCTCCCATGTATTACTGCTATCACTTATCAATCTTTGTTAATTCTTATGGATTATTCTATATCCTTGTGCATTCGCTGTTTGTGCTAGCATGAGAAATCTTAGTGAAATATTGTTTCATTAGTTTAGCTGCATTTGTATTGATAAGACTAGGGCCTTGGTAACCTTCCAAACCTACTTGTTTAGTTTTTGATTTGAAATAAACATTAAGTTATCATATTTGAATTCAAATACTTTCACTCCTCACCTTCATTTGACTTTGATATAGCCTAGCCAAACGTACCTAATAATAATTTTCGTAATAGATCACTTTTTCCCCTGTTAGAAAAATGTGATGTGAAATTTTTGATAGTTATTCATTCGGGTGTTTTCCTTCTAGCTTGTTTGTATATTAATTATTCAGGTTATCCTGAACTATTGCCATATCTCAAAAAAACTAATAGGATTCCTTGGTCATACTTAATGCTTCCATTGGTTTCCTTTTCTATTTAAACTTTAAATATTGATTTTATACCTGTTGGTCTTCTAATCAACCTGAACTGTTAATACATCACCGTTAGTTAATGTTCTATGATGCTTTATTCTCCTGGATGCGTTATGTACTTGTATCATTAATTTTATAAAGATAACAGCTGGAATTTTACTTATATAATCCAAATAAACTAATGAGAGTTAACTCTTGTCCCAAACTTGTCAATAAATGGAAAATTAGGACATTATTTAATGTTCTGTCTATTAAGGCGGATTAAGTTGAAGTTGTTAATTCACACAATTTTCGCCTCATTCGGTAAATCATTACCACAAATAATACTAATTTGTTTGATATCTATTGATACGTTTTAATCCACAAGAATGATACGCTGTATTATGGAATCCCACTTTCAATCTGTTCATTAAAGTGGCCTTTAATACTAAGTTCTTAAAATAGTCTTAAGCAAACCTCATGGGTTTGATCTATATGCATAAAAAATAGAATTAATAAAGCTCTGTAAACGTACTGTGATCTGTATGGCTAACTAGTAATACTGACGAATTGTTGTCTATTTACATTTTATGAGTGTAGGAATATTCTTATTAGTGGATTTCAACTCACTGGCTCATTAGTAATATGCTAGTCACATGATTAGTTTCACATCTCATAATCCATTGATAATTAAAGTGTTTAGTTTGAACGAAGTAAGGGTTAATTCTCCATAGTAGACAACAAGTAATTCTAAATATTCTATATAGTTCTTTAACACACTGAGACTGCTTTTTAACTACTATTATTTCCTTCGTACCTGAATTCTCATTTTGCTACGTTTTATATCAATTAAAACCTAATCACAGCAATGTTGTGTTTATCTTTGACCTTTTTTATTCGAATTGTAGGTCAAGTTGAATTACCTCCAGAATGTGCTGATGAATCGACCCCACAGAAACAAATTCTTGATAGCACAAAACTACACTACTACAAAGTAATTTTTGTACACCGTTTCATTATTATTATACTAAGATTGTGTATTACATGATGTTCATTTGAAATTCGTAATCGAACATTTAATCAACTCTAATAAATGCGGATATGTGCTAATAAGAAGACTGAGTTGATTTATTTAATGTTCATCACAGTCCCTGACACCTTTTTTTATTTGGCATGATAATTGCACTATATCGTGAATTGATTGAATTTCGAAAGGGATTCTCGTTGTAATCTAAAGTTGGAATGTTCACCGCCAGATCTAAAGACCATGTAATTTAGATTTCTTTCTAATCTCAGGTATACATTACTGTAAATCCATAAACCTAAAATTAAACAGCTATCTGGTTTCGCCAGTTTATGTTGATCCATGATAAAAACTGTTTTGTAATATTCATGTAGGCTTTTGTGAGGATTTAAAGCTTATGAAGACTAAGATACAACTTTAAACAAGAAAAATTTACTGAAGTATAGCGATATCAAAAAACTTTTAGTCTTATTCTGTGATCATTGAATGACTTTATAATTTATTATTGTAAAGTAAAGAATATGGTCTCTAATCTTAAACTTTTCCATCTCTTACTGATTAAGAGGACCAAAGTATAACCTTGGAAATATTTCCAATACAGTTAACAACAATTCCAAAACAGGATAATAGAGTATAGGCAAAAAAGATACAGAAATCAATAAAAAAAACCCATGTGTATTTCCTTATTAAGTGATTGTGTAGGTGTTTTGTTTAACTCGAAGGTAGTTTTCTTCACAAATTATTGTTAATGGTAAATCTTTTGAAAAGTATGAAGCACTAGACAACTATTTCGTTCTAATTCCAGGTTCTTCATTAAACATACATTACAGGACGACCAAGCTGAGGTCCTTTATGTTTTGTAGCTGGTTCAATCACATAGGGTCACTGAATCATCAATAGTCCAAGATGAAAATGACCTCCAAAATATAGAAAATGTACCGTAAAACCACTTCATTCACTAATAATGGTGTACTCACTGGTACCTAACGTCAATTTATTTTTCTCAACGTCCTAGAGGGCAACAGTGACTTGTAAAATTAAGAGCATTACAAGTAAAAGAGTAACTCACCAGTGATTGTGTTGAATGTTTAAGTTGTGTGATTCCGTGTATTTCGTCTAATCACTCATAATCTAAGTTCCTAGATAGCAATTTTATTTCATTTTGGTTATTGTTAAAATATGTGTTTCAATGATCCTTCCATACCTTAATTTATCAATATTTCATGAATAATGTAACGATTATTTCTGGGCAGTTAGTTTGCTACATACTTCCTTATGTCGTTCCTAGTTTCTAATTTTATGAAGTATGCTTTTGACAGAACTTCGTGCCTATACATTTATCATTCATGTTCAGACATTGTCTAGTTAAGGATCTATGAAGCTACAAATTTTCACACCTTACATTACCAATTTGAATTATGCTAACAAAAAATCGACCTTATTTAGTTGTTTGGACTACTTAGTTGTATGTGATGACTGCACTTAGTGTGATACCTTCTTCTCTTATTGCTTTCTGTATTAAGGAAAAAGTTGAGTTTATGAATAATAAGGTATAATTATAATAATTACCATCTTTCTGTGCATCATTCTTCTGACTAACCCAATTATAATAAAGTATCCATATAAATAATGTTGTCGACATCGGTTTAGTACACTTTGGATCACCTTAGAATACTTTGTATTTACAAAATACAATTAGCGAGCAACAACTTTTTACAGAAATATCGTTTTTCCTACAAGACAGATTTTGTACCAGTAAATAACCACTATATTATTATTTATCTACTGGTCCCATATAAATGAAATAAAAATCCTAGTCATTTCATACAAATAAATTTTCCATGCTTAAATCACTTCATACTAACTTATTAAGTTTCGAACGTCTTCATTGAAACTCACTATATATTTACGTAACATAAAAAAAACAGTTGACTCAAATGACTGACTATAGTTATAATTATATCGCCCCAGTGATATAGTTGAATCAGTATGATATATTTCTGTAGATTTTTCTGATAATGATCCTACCTGAGTTAAATGTCGTTAATATTCATCTGAAAATAACTTTTTATTCATTTCGTTTTTTGAAGGATATTAGAGATGTCCATATATCTCGTGTTCATTCATTACTTCTGGATTGGCGTGGTAAACTCCAAGATTCACGTGGTGATTTAGAAATGCAATTGGTTAGTCAAAAATCTGTTGTTCAGCATAAACAGCATTCTAGTTCAAACTCAATTCATACTACTAGTACTACTAGTAACACCTGTAATTTGCGGAATATTAGTACACGTCTAGGTCCATTTTTAGCTAAAAGACGTGAATTGTCATTTCTTTTAGCATGTTTAGAACAAGTATTATGTGCAATGACAATTAAAGAACGTGTGGAAGATCTACGTACAGCACAAAGTTTATTATTACAATCCGGTAGCGGGGGATCTCTTGCAATCGGTCAAGTTGGAATTCCCTCTATTGATGATGACAATGATGATGGTGACTCTAATGCTCCTGATCGTAACCGAAAATTTACTCCAGTTTCAATTGGTGGTTCATGTGGTAATTTAGCAGATGCTTTAAATTCCTTACCTATGCGTTTAGCTATCGAATGGTTGACTACACAGTGAGTTGAAATCTGTAAATTGTTCAAAGTTCTTAGTCAAAAACTTAATTTTGCCAAGATTTGTTATTACTTTTACAACAGTTTGTATTATTCAGTTAATTTCTTACAGTTCGGTTTTGAAAAGAAATGTTGTTTAGAAATAAACCTAGATAGGTCAAAACTAATAGGATACTGAATCTATTTATTGGTGGTGTTCTCAGGGGAATCCAAATGACCTCTGACTTTATCAAACTTGTTCAATAGTTGAGAAAAGATGTTTCACGTATGATATACACAATGTATGGGGAAATGAATGGTTTAATGGATTATTCCGAAGTTCCATGATAATAAGCTTCACTTAGTGGTTGATTTTTTGTTTGGTATAAATAATTCCGTTGTATCAATCGATGTGATTCCCTGAATCGTATGCTAGATATAAATAGCTATAAATAATAATTCAAGATACTGTGTTGATCATTTATAACTTGAACCATAGTCAAGCTAAATCTTCAACGATTTTTGTTGATTTATTGTCTGTAGCTTGTTTGATAAATCATTCCTAATATGTGGATAATAAATGGTTTGATAAGCCTATATGAGTGATTTATCTTGTGTGAATGACAATAACTTTAAACTTCGTTTTGAAACTTGAATTTCACAAACCCCTTTTTTTTTAACTTCAGTTACTCCGAAATTTATTGACATAGATCAAAGAAAATTCTTTTCAGTAAACAGTGTATGCGCATAAAAGACTTTGGAAATAGGGTAAACATTTAACACACTGAACGAGGCACGGACCAGTAAAAAATGGCATCTTTAAAGGCAATAAAATGAAAGATAAATCCTAGAGGTAGTTTTGACTGTACGAAAGTAGACTCAGATTTGCGAAATAAAAATAGCTAACGAGTCGGTAATAGGTGGTCCCATGATGGTTTAGCATCCCGAGCAGTGGGGTTGGGGCAAGCTAGAGATTAAACTTATATTTATTTGAGTGCTCATGTTGAGTAGTTCCAGTTGGTGCTAAGAGAATATCCAGTTTATAATATTGCGATAAAGGGATAAATTGTTTACAATAGTTTCATTCAGTCGCCTTTATATATTCAGTCAATCATAATATTTTATTTACGTTGGTCGTTGGAATTCGTTTTTTCTGATTTGAGATAGTATCTCAGTTCGAATTAAAGTTTATGAATGACTATAGTTGGTTCGACATTAACTCCCAAAGTCCAAGTACACCATAAGCTAACCATACCGAGTTATGTACAGCCTTTATAAATCAACTGCATACTAAATCATTCCAACTGTAATAAAAATTAAAATTCAGGTTCAGTAATCGGACCCGTATCGTTCAAAAAAATATTGTCGTTACCTTTTCACTACATCGTATATGTTGATTTTGAATTAGTTCTTATAAATCTTTTGACTGTGAGCTACGTTTTCCGTGTGTCCAAGTCGAAATAAATGGAGCGTGATACGATTGTTGGAAGTTTAATGCATGTGGACACTAAAGCACTGTTTTTATAACTAATGTAAATAGTGTATTACTTCAACGTATTTTGTAATCTAAGCTTATTTCTACTTTCAAGACGTATATATAGTCACTGTTTCACTAGTACCCACCCTTTTTCGCAATTCGATTGGTTAAGTCTCGTGGATAGTGCCTGTTTTTATTGGGTGGTTTATATCGTATTAACAGTCGGCTCATCTATTTGGAAAAATCAATTCTCAAAGTATCTAACAGTGATTAGTAATCAGTTAAGACAATGGCATTTAACATCTATGTTACTGGGCTAACTATTCAATAATGAAAATGTTAACTATCAACGATGTATGCTTATTATCAAAGTAATAGAGCATATAATGAAAGTAATCGTAGAGACTCACGTAGTAATAGTGAATAGCAGAATAGTGTGTTGTAATGCCACTGAAAATAGATTGGAAATATAGACATGTTTTTGTTATAACTTATGATCTGCGTGCCCTGTATATTGGATAACGCAACTATACCACCAATCAGAGAGCAGCGGATTATCGATCGAACCAGTGACGCACAAAACACGTGCGAGCAGCCTCGAGTCCTGATTGATCTCGCTTCCTTGTCTAACCCAGCCAGTTGAGTTCAGAACACCAATCTCAGCCTCTGCAATATGAATCATTTATTCCAAACATACTCTGTTTATATATAAACCAAACCGACCACAACGTACCATAAAATAGAAAATAACATTCGTACAATATTTGGCCAAAAGTGGCTGTGAATGAGGGAGATATTAATCAATAGACAGGTCATAACTCAAGAATGGTAAATCGTATAATACTAGTTCATAGGTCAAAATAAAACTCATAATGTGAACAGTTTAATTACATGACAATTATACGATAAAAATATACTCATAGTAATTGCTCATAAATCGATCCAAAGAATTACCATTCATTATTCTTATCGGGATATAACACCTCCCGTTTTTGAAGATCCGGATCTTAAATTTTCCGGGTTTATCCTCCCCACGAAATAGAATTGGATCCTCATATTCCCAAGCTTCAATTAATTTGACTTTACTTAAAACGTATTTGTCACATTTAACATAGAATTTACTAAAATTGATTAAATGATGAGGATCAACGACGCTTGATATGGGGTCATTAAAGCTTGATTCTTCTGAAACATTGTCATCGAATTTCTTGAAAATCTCATTAGAAGATAGTCGATCACTAGAATAATCAGCATCTATCAATATTTTATTAGGTTCTTGACCGTCGTTTGATGCATCCGACAAATATTCCGCACTTTTGTAAGAAATTTGATCAAAAGCATGGGAGTCATTAAGATAACTCATATCTGGTAAAACAACTAGAGGACCCCAATAAGCAGATTCGTCAGGAACTTTTGTTCTGGAATGATGAGTTCCATTTGATGCAACTGTATTCATTATGCTGCTTGATTCATCTTCGGTCTCTTTGTGGACGGGTACTGCAATAATTTCATGAGCATTTAGCAAGACATCGACTTTCTGTGAGCTGGACAAGTCAGTGTTTGCACATGGTGTTTGTGGGGCAATGGGATTTGAACCCATGACAGGGCATGCCTCTGAAATGGACATTTCTGGATCACTGGGCGGACCATGAATGACTGATTCGCTTAAATTACTGCTTGTCAATAATTCATGGAGGCTTTTATCGACACATTCATATGTTCTGCAGTCAATTTCCAGCTCGGCATGCAAATTGGAAATTAGTTTATCAACTTCTGTCACATTGTTTATGGCAGTACTGTCGTCAATACTAAAAGATTCCACAAGTATTCTTATCAAAACACTGTCTCGAATGAAGATTGAGAACTTTCTAATCAGCTCAAAAATTTCTGTGGCCAGAAATTTAAATGCTACTGGGATTTCCTTCATGGAGGCATCTAGTGCCGTCATCTCGCAAAGAGACATCCTTCTTTTTGTACTTGTACGTGCCAACAATACCTACGACGTTGGAAAATCAACGAGTTACATTTTTTGATCTACTGTTGAAAAGAAGTAGCATTCCAGACAACTGGCCACTTAACAATACACCTCCAAGCTCAATGATATGTGTAGCTAACGTCTCAAAATCATCTATTTAATACAGACAATCAAGTTTAAACTGACCCGAAAGTTCCGATCGTTCGGATAAATGTTACCTGGAAATAAACTCTCATGTGGTTTGAAAAGTTGTTGGTCTCTAAGGGTGACGTTCCTTTCACATACATATTTTATATAAAAATCACTCAAATTTCCATGACTGTCTTGTATTATGAATTTTCAGGAAGTCACTTTTTCATAAACTCTCAGTTGTCTCAGGAGTTCCGCGTCCATCTAAAATCCTACACAAACGAATATCTCTGTTCATTTTCATCCTCGTAAGCAAATTTAATGTAGGACGAAAGTGTATTGGTCAGTTCGGAAAAAGTTCGTAGGAAAGTCTTTTTCATGACAACAAAAGTATCATCCGCATATCTGAGCCAATTTTGTGATTTAATATCATTGGCGAGGATATCTGATTCCGTATGTGACGTAAACAAGTTAGCTACAATCATGGACACGGGGGGACCTCATTGCCACCCCGTTTGTTTATTTTTATAATGTCCCATAGAATGTAAATAAGGTCGAATTTAAGCACGGTTGTAGGGATTTCATGGTTAAATTGATGCTTAAAGGACATCTGGCAGATAAATTATTAACATTCTCTGGTAAACCACTAATAAAGTTTATCATAATGGGTTTTGTGGAGAATTTTTAGAAATTTCATAGGTTGAAATCATGAGTCGATTGAAGCTAGACCACCATGGAAAACCTGGAAGCACTGGACGGCCGTTCCGTCCTAGTACGGGACTGCTTAGCAGTGCGCACCCACGATCCCGCACCACGTGGGGTTCGAACCCAGGACCTACCGGCTTCGCGCGCGAGCACTTAACCACTAGATCACTGAGCCGGCATCCAACGCTGTTAATGTCTAACTTCAACCAGTCCATGAAGTTGCGCCACCGTACACCATTGTCTTCAGTGAGTTGTTATCTCTCAACAGACCTGGTTGAACTCCACACTAACACCGTTGGATGCCGGCTTAGTGGTCTAGTGGTCAAGTGCTCGCGCGCGAAGCCGGTAGGTCCTGGGTTCGAACCCCACGTGGTGCGGGATCGTGGGTGCGCACTGCTAAGCAGTCCCGTACTAGGACGGAACGGCCGTCCAGTGCTTCCAGGTTTTCCATGGTGGTCTAGCTTCAATCGACTCATGATTTCAACCTATGAAATTTCTAATAAAGTTTAGTCATATATCAAGAGGAGTTCTCATGTATTAGAATGCAAAACCATAGCTTACCATGGTTTCATTTTTTCGATAACTGATTCCGATATTCCTGACTTAAAATCATAGGAATCTTTAATTACATTATGTAAGTTGTATTAAAGTGGCTTTAATATGCTGCTCAGATACTTAGATAATACACAGCCGTGCTTGTAAAGTCCACTATAGGTTTTAGTGGGATGTCTGATTTATGAATTTTGGGTAAACTACAGAAATGTGATGTAGTGTATAATTTGGGATATAAAATAAACCATAAAAAGATGTCGATCATTGACTTTAGTTCTTTCAAAAGTTGACTTACCTGTGACTTTACTTTCAACCGTATGAAGATTTTTTGGATCAATTTTTTGTGTATTTTAACCAACCGATTATTATCCTTTACACAATCTTCAATTATCCCAACCTCTCCATAGAAGCAAACCAGCAAGTGTACAATATAACCTCGATTAATATATTTTTCTCTTTATCAATTTTTCGTATCATAATAATTTACTTAATTGTCTCAAATCACTTCTGAAGTTTTCACTCTTAGGCTTAGACGCAATTCGTATTATTCTTCATAGTCATCCATTGCGAATGCACTTTTTTGTTTATTTCCTAATGTCATTTACTTCTAGACTTAGTTGATCTGCCTTATAAGATTGTTTCTAATTACCTAATGTTCACAATATCAATATATATATTCGTTTGCTTCAGACCTACTGATTTTTATGTGACCTTTTTTAGCCATGGTGATCATCTAATTGATGGGCTCCGTCTGGTTGCATTGAACTGTGTTTTACATGATGGCTTAGGTGATGAATTGTACGATGTAATGAGTCGTGCCATAATACATGCTGCTGGTCAAATCACCTTCCCTATGCTTGAAGCGTTATCCTCACTTGGGTTATTATATCCCCGTTCTAAACTCCCAGAAATATCATCTGCAAAAAAATCTATTACAAACAATCAAACAACTGACCCACAGTCAAGCATGTTTGTGGCGCAAACAAATAACTCGACAAAAAAGTCCAGTCATGCACTAACTCATACTGTTGCCAAGCTAAAATTAACACAACGACAAAAATCTCGTTACAAGTAAGATTTTTTAAATTTCAATGCTCTAAATGGGTTGGATTGGTTCAATATTTGCCGTATCTGATGAATAAGTAGTAATATGATATTGTTATTCATCTGTCCTCACTCAGAAGACAAATGGTGAGTCATGAGAACTTTAGAGCGATCAGTCACTATTCAGACATTCCCCTCACGCTCTTCAACTTCTGTTAATTAGCAATTTATCGTCTCCACCACCCAATGTCCTCAGTGAGTATCTCTGGCTTTGTTGAACCAAAAGGTTATCTCATTAATCATCTGCGTGTAGGGAAGGGAACAAACGCTTTTCGTATTCAGTTGTTCATTATTTTCTATTGAGCTTAGAACCGTAAATGGTACCTAATTGACTTTTATCCTAGTAAATCTAATAATAAGTTGACGAAACTAAAGATTTTTTATGTTATCCTATCTCAAGGTGACAGTAAAAGCTAAATAACAACATCAAATTTAAGTATAGAACAGTACTGATATTCTAATCTGAAGTTTGTCCAAATTGTTCAGCTTTAAAATACTTCAAACCATAGACCGATTTCGGTTAAGTAGCAATCTTCACTGACCTTCCTTTCTAATAACAGTCAGTCATAGTACAGATGTATTTATTTTTTATTGCACTTACCATAGTTTACATATTATTTACATTTTCTGCTTTCTCATGTTCTCATTTTAACTTATTCAAGTTTTAGTTTTTTTTCTGTCTGTTGAAAATAGATCAGGTTATCCGGTTTTTAGTTATTACATCCTAGTTCTTTCTCTGAAGAACAGTGTTGATGACATTTTTCTAGTTCATTTCTGCAATACTATTTGTTGTCACCTACTTGGTTGTTATCACTTTTAATTTACAATTTTTGTTGTGTTCCAGGGTGATTGATTGTTACTGTAAAAATAGAGTTGTTCCTTTTCAATTTTTGACTTCCGTGCGGAATATATCTGGTAAATCTTGTCTTCTCTATCTCTATTAGCGTACGGATTACTAACTTTGAGGTGTTGTTATTTGACAGACCACTAGTCTGTACCTATATTTTTCGTCGTATCAGAAAGATCTTCAATCGTTCGTAAACAATAGCATTTACCGTAGGTCAATCGGAAACACCAATACTGTAATCGTTTTTATAAAGACTAAATACTCAGTCTTTTTGTGTTGTTTAGATGTACACCATCTTTACAACAAAATCTAGGTAAACTTTTAAGATGACTTTGCTGTAGCTAATTATTATGGTGTCCCACTTCTGTGGAAACATACAAGTCTTCACATGGAAATTATCAACTGAAATATTTTGATGAAGATTGTGATTAGCTTACAACAGAATAAACCATTGTTTTCTCTTGCGATCCTATCACTAGGACACTAGATAATATGGTATAATACTGATCAAGGGACTAATCCAACAATTAAACTAACTAGTTCAGAGAACTCAGCAACTCCATCAGTCTCAGTATTTTACGAGATGCGTGACTCAGAAATTCAATATCCAACCAACTATTGAGAGCCACATTAAAGTAGACAATAGTTTATTAACACAATTTACAAGTAATCAACACAGTGGAACCCGTGTAGAAATCAACCGTATGATGTATAAAAATGATCTTTGTGTTCATTACAGCCGGATATATGTCTTCACTCAGTAACCAATCACAACTTAGTCTCACTTGATACATAAGATTTTTTTCTTCTGAATTTACTACTGTTTATGCAACTAAATTACGTAACTAATTTTAGTTATACGATGAAATTTTTGCAAATCTTCCCATCTAATTAATAAACCAAGGTATTATTTCCCTTTTTTAATAAATTAGTCTACGGTACATTGATAATTTAATCAAATAAATATTTTTTAATACTTTTTTCCTCTCAGTTATCTACATCATTTGTTACAGTTGAGCAATTGGAATCAGGCCAATCGACATGTTGATCGTACGGTTATTTCACCTACATATGTTTATTCTGGTCAACATTGTCCTTTAGTTGTTCGGCTTTTAGAGTCTGTTTGGTCAGCTGGTCTTCTAGATTCTAAATTTCAATCTATTAAATCAAACTCTTCTTCTGCTGAGCAAAATCATTCAGACTTTGAACTAATTGCCCAGCCACAATTAATCGAAGCACTTAAACGAATGGGTCTTTCATCTGAAGGTATGTTTCTCCTTATAGTGTCAATTACAAAGAGGAAGTTCCTTGATATTTTGTAAACCTTATATTCTTAACTAATTAGCTTAGAAATCAATATTTTAAAACTGTCAAGTGATAACTAAAATAAAAACAAACTTTCTACATCAACCTTTGATTTGTACTGTTATGGTAGTTTGAATAATTTAATTGAAACACTTTATTTTGCGGTTAGGGCAATCAAAATAAATTTTACAATTATTTTTCATTGTTATTTTCGGTTTGGGCGCCCGGGTAGTATAACAGTCCTCACAAAAATATATGATAACTGTGTGACCCATATGCATTTGGTGCCCTCTTGTACCAATGTTTATGTAATATGTATGTTGAGAGTTTTATTTTTACTAAACAATAAATCTTCATAGTCATAGGTTAGACGATGTCATTTCACATTTCTGCTAGTCAGTAGCAGAAGATTTATGAAGTGACAATTGCATTAGTCAGTAATTCATGTATCATCATCAGTACAAATTCAATCTTACTAAATCATTTTATTGAATCAGATCAATAAAGCAAATTTAATTTGTATGAAACATTTTTTGCCTTGCGTTTATAAACAGTTCTATTGCCTATTACTATCAACTAGAAAACTCTGTATAGAGATATACAATATCATGTGTATCACACTAAAATTCTTTCATCAGTTCAATCAGTTAGCTTCTATTGGTTTTATATTTAACGATTTATGGCTAACGATAGCTTGACATAAATATAAAGTTATTATTATTATTCTATGCTAACCACTGCTTTTTACTCTCCCCCTCTCCACACAGAAAGACTAATTTGTATCCCATTGTCTTTAGTAGTATGGGACTCCTCAGCAGTACGCACCCACGATCCCGCACGCAGGACTCGGACCCAGAACATCGGTTTCTTGGACGAACATTTCACCTCTAGACCACTGAGCTGGCATCCAATGGTGTTAATGTCTAACTTCAACCGATCCATGATCTTGCATAACCCTTCATCCCTTGTTTGAGATGGATAACTGTTTCACATCCGATACAGATTGGACTTCAGTGGTCACGGTTTCTCTCTAGAATTCCAGGAAATCCATCTTGAAGCTAGGCACTTTTGAGAAGAAGATTACTAGTAGTAGTACGGGTATTTATGGAAATTGTAGTATTTTCACGGCTTAATTCACTAGTCGATAATGGGTTGTGCAAGATCATGAATCGATTGAAGTTAGATATTAACACCGTTAGATGTGATCTCAGCGGTCTAAAGGTGAAGTGTACGCCCACGAAACCGAAGGTCCTGGGTTCATATCTTGTGTACAGAATTGCGGTCGCTCACTAGGACAATACGGTCGTCCAATGCTTCCAGGTTTCCAGTGGTGATCTAGCTTGACTCGTAACTTCATCTGTGAAAAAGCAAAGAATATTTTAATCATTTTTCATCTGTTTACTTATTTTATAAGAAGTTATAATTTTTATGTATTTCAAATGAAATGAAAACAATCTGTAACTGTTTATTAAATCTCTAGTGATTCTTTAATTGATTTGGTTCTATAAGTGAGTAGATTGTGAAGCTACTTATAACTTGTTAAAATAGTATACAAGTAGGTTTCTTTTAATTTTCAGTAGTATCTCATTACAAAGTGATTTCATTAAATATGAAAACCATACATTAAATACGTTATTTGCACATCCTTCAGTTGTCCTTTACATTCTTCATGATTCTTTCAATTCTGTTGTTATTACAATTGCTCTCGTTCTACATTCCTGTTCTCTTCAATTCAATCTTCCGCTGCCAGGCATCCCACTTCAGATTGCTGTTACATAGTACTTATATCTGTCAGTATAAGTTGCATACGTCATATTATATATAACTTTTCCCGAAATTTTCACATCATTCTTCTTATGATTTTCTCTATTTTATTTCATAACAAAGGGTTCAACTAGAAATCAAACACCTATTAATCTTTTTAATTCAAAGACTATTTCACAGAGAATAATTCTACTGTGTTGAAGTTTTTACTTCACTTACATAATTTGATAATGGACTGAGATATCTGTGAAACAACTATTAACGTAAACTTTCACTTATCATAGTTATTTTAGTTTAGTTGGTTTATTATTATCATTGCAAACATACTCGTTAAGTGAATACAATTTCTTAAACTGAATTAGTTTACTCATTAGTTACCTTCTACAGTACGTGATTTTCTAATTCCATGATACATGTATTTTTCACACTAATCATAATAATGGATTTATAATCCCGTCATTTTATACATTATTATTATTATTCTAATACATAATCAAACCTTCAACTGTTGAAATATTATTATTTTCTAGAGACCGCAAATAAGTAGATTTTTGTAAATCAGGTTAAAGTATTTTCTCTTTTTATCCCATAAGTTGCTTCAAATCTGGGTCTCGTTAATCTCTGTGATCCAACATTAACAGCTGCAGGATATCAGCATGATATATTTTTTAAGAAGAACCGTCTAAATGCCCCAGCTCCACATCCTTTACCTCTCGTAAGCACTGATCAACCTATTGTCGTAGCATTTCCTGGCGGTTGTACATATGGTGAAGTTGCAGCTCTTAGATTTGTTGCTAAACGGAGAAGATGGAATCTACTTATTGCTACATCGTGTATTCTTACATCACGAGACTTATTACAGCAAGCTGGAAAAGCAGCAATGAATGTGAACTCTCTATAGATTTTAAAATTTCCTGACAGACATTCTTTTAATTGTCTCGTCAAATTTTTGATGTCGGAATCTCCACTCTCAGGTTCTTTATGTTTGCCTAAACTTGAATGTTTTCAGTTTTATTGTTATTTGTTCTACTCAAATAAGGAATATATTTTTGTCCTATAGGTTTCTTGTATAAAAACTAATTTTTTTTGTTAAATATGCGATTTTGTATAAAACTAATGTTTTTCTACAATAAAAGCTCACTCCTTTCTGTTATCAGTGTTATTCAATGAATGCATTTTTATTATTTCTTTTTACAATATTTCCCATACTATTTTTGTTTGGTTTTTCATAAATAATTTTTGCTTATTAGTAATTTTCATTCTTTCAATAAATTATATTTTTCTGTAATACAGTCTTGTTAAATACTCTATTTATTTCATACAGACAACACCTTTTTTTCGTTAATTTATCAGGTTTATATTCTCTAGCGTATGTGTTAGTAATTGCACATTTAGATGTTCATGACATACTGTTTTTCTTTCAAATGAGTTCCACTAACCCGTCAGATTCGGTAGTGATTTAAGTGGAGTTTAGAAACGCCTGATATTTCTCGATCTTAACTTTTAGTTTTACCTTATTAGATATAAATTCATTACAACTGATGTTAAATTGTCATGATAAAAATGTTTGTTGGTCGAAGTCATCATATCATTACAAGAAAATTAAAACAGATTATTTGTAATATCAACTAATTCAAGGATTTATTACTAAGAATATATAAGGACTTGACTTCAAAGTCATTTGATATTCTGAAACACATTCATATTGATGAATCGTGGGGACATTTCATACAGCAAATCTTCCCATAACTTACTAGGAAATTCACTCAAGATCGACTGAATTTGAACTTTTAATTGTGTATCACGCGTCCCACAATATGTAATAATATGTTTCAGTTGATAACGCATATTTACAGTAATAACACCAGCTTCATCACTAAACACAGACAAAAGTAAGACTGCTATTTAAACACAGACTTAAAGATAGCAACTACATCGATCAGTCAAACTAATTGATTTTCAGTCGACGAAATAGTTGTGCGCTGAGTTAACAGATACTTATGAGTTGCCTACATCTGTTACCCCTCGCGAAGGTGTATAGGCTGCCTACCGGCATTCTCCATCGAATTCTGTCCCAGGCCATCCATTCAATAAACACAGAAATATTATACCGTACTAGAAAAGAATAAAGTAAATTGATACCTACTTTTGAAGCATACGAAGAAGTGCACTAGGTTTTTTAAAAAGTCATGCCAGTTACAAAGATCAAGTATCACATTAGGAACTTCATACATTTTCCCGGTTGAATCACATCACTTGCTTTGTTAATATCTCCAACTTATATTTCATTCAAGTTTGTTTCTTATAGGGTTGTTTGATATGAACTCCCTTTTGTCATGCAACTCATTAACCAAGTACAAGTTTATGTAAAAGATTAAGTTTATTGATGAGGATGATCCACCTACTTTGTTCGACATACAAAGTGAAGAATATTTGACAACATTAAACATCCTGTTTTCGACTGAAGACAATTCATCAATTTTATAATATATCTTGGAATAGTAAAATATAATATTGCACGAAGCTAAATATCATATAATGCCAAATGGATGTTCTATTTACGACTAAGCTCTTATATGAAAAGCCTGATGGACTAACAGTCTGAATTTATATACTCATTTAAATAATATGAGGTTATTGAGAAATATTTTTCTGAAATCAAAGTTTCAGTAATGTCTCAGTCGAATTTAGTTACAGTTTCGTGAATTACTCTTTGAAATTTGGACTGTAAGTTCAGTTGAAATATATAAAGTGATAAATAAGTCCAGTGACGAATATATCTTTACCTTCAAATATAAAAGTTTTATCAATTAAATTAGTAAGAATACATAATTACGGTTAAGATACTACAACTGAAAGAGTTACAAATGTTCTGAAAACATTTATTTGATTGAGATTATTTCATTCATTGCTGACAGTTTACATGAATTTATTAAATACAAACCGAAATCATAATGGAAGTAATTACTTTCTTAAATATGTTGACAGTGACAATAGATACTAATATGTAAATACATCAAATTGAAGAGTTATTGCTGAATGGCTTTAAAGATCTAAAGACTAATCAAGTGCATGCAATAATTTATAATCATGTTAGTCTGATTTCGTAAATGATTCACTCATTCACTTTTGCGTTTTACCCCTCGTGAAGGTGAATAGACTGTTCACCATTATTCTCCATTCAACTCTGTCCTGGACAATTGTCTCTAGTTGCTATTCATATCTACTTCCAATTATCGACGCAGTATGTTCTTCGGCCTTCCTCTTTTCCGTTTCCCTTCACGATTTCAAGTTAAAGCATGCCTCGCTATGCAGTTTGATGTTTCCATAATGTATGTCCTATCCACTTCTAGCGCCTCTCCTTAATTTCCTCTTAAGCTGGAACCTGGTTTATCGTCTCTCCTAGTAGGCTTTTGCTGATGGTATCCAGACGACGGACATTGAGTATATTACGTAGACAATTGTTTGTAGTTCTCCAAGTTTCAGCTCCGTACAGTAAAACTGTCCTGATGTTCGTATTGGGGATTGTGACTTCGGTATTTAATAAGAGTATTAGTTCAGCTAAGAGTTCTATTTTCAGCGAATTCATTTTCAAAGCTGTACAATCGAAAATATATATACTTAATTTACGAGATGATAATAATACTGACAATAAACTTCTGTTAGATAAGTTGACGGTGAGGTAAAATAAACAAAAGTATTAAAAAATTTTTTAAACAAGGAAAGTTTAATGATCGTTTGATTGGTAATGGCTTAAATACTCATTGGGAAACGATGGCTTGGCGTGATAAGATAAAGTGTTGAAATTGAGATTATACGTAATCAGGATGATCATAGAAACAGAAATGAACGCGTCAGGGGTAGAAGATGAAGTAGATGGCTGTAAAGGAAGAAGAGTGTGAAGAAAGGAAGTAAAAATTACAAGACATTATGACCATGGTAAAACAAGAGGTTGTATCAACCTCTTTTGGACACACAATTCTGGTTTTTCCAGATGTATGGCTATCGCTTAAGCAATGCAAAGAAGATGCGTTCCAATTGTCTTTGAAAAACGTCTACTTACCTTGTAGATGACTGTGAACGCAGAGTTTGTCTTAATTGAGTGACCTGTGCTCACAAGGTGTTGGATTATTGAACTTCTTATTGAGCCGTTTTATCCTCTTTTTAGCCACGCTGGATAATGTTCTTGAATCCTTTTGAATGAAGTACGCATCGAAAGACCCATACACCTAGCTCCACACGAGCAGGTAAATTGGTAAATGCACAGTGAGTTGGTCAGATGCGATAATTTACCTTTAAGATTATTGGCGAACAATGATAAGCTAGATAATGCTATTCGCAATGTTGCTGAGAAGAATGTTCTCTGTCGCCCTTAAATTATTATCATCCTGTAAAATAAGTATATATTTGCGATTGTACAGCTTTGAAAATGAGTCCACTGAAGAAAGGACTCCTCACTGAACTAATTTTTCTTATTTAATGTCTCAATGGGTTTATACAGTCTACTTTGATATTGGTTTACAGTTGTGTTTGAGTTCCATACGTTGTTCATCTGTAGGAATGTTTTCCTTTCCTTGCCAATCCTCATCTTAACGTTTGCATCAGGTCCTCCACGCTTTTATTATTAATAATGGCTCTATTCAATATTATGTATTGGTATAACATAGAATTCTCAGCACAAGGTTCTTCGATGATACCGTTTAGGTACGTTAAAGTTTCCACCTGTTCCAGCGTTTTTCCATCAGGTGTGTAATGATGCCGCAATTATTCGAAGTTTGACAACATCTTAACTAGTAGCACCTTTTATAATGGAGATGTGCCAACCCAGTCAATCCAGAAGTCAGAAGCGAAGCCGTTCGAAGATATGTTTGATAGAATATCGATATATCAAGAAGTGACAGATCTTAGCTGGTTAGCGGTTGTAGGAGAAGATGAGCACAGCGTACCCACTCGTAATCTAGTGCGGAAGCATGAACGAGCGCCTTCAGCCAGGTGAATCCGGTAAAAGTAATGCAGTCAGCATCAAATATCTAAGATTTACAGAGCTATCGATTTTGAAAACTTATTTCCGCTACATGTGATGGGATTGTTTTTCTCCGTCTTGATTTGAGGATTTTGCTTTTTTCCTTGTGTATGTTAAGGCCTACTGGTGCAGAGGCTGCTGCTACGCCAGTTGTCTTCAACTGCATTTGTTCGTGCACATTAGACAGAAGCGCCAGGTCATCTGCCGAGTCCTAATCATCTAGTTGCATATAGGCTGTCTATTGCATCCCGTGCTTCCCGTCCGATGTTGAAGTCTTGATAATTCAGTCGACCACCAGAAGAGAAAAAGGGTGTGGGCAGCCTTGTCTAGCTCTGTTCCTCACTTGGAATTCATCCGTCAGTAGTAGTTTATGCACCACTTTGAAGTGTATTCCATCGTATGAATTCCGTATGATATTGATGATCTTCTCAGAAACACCATAGTGTCAAAGAAGTTTCAGTGAGGATCTTCCATCCACACCGTCAAACTCCCTGTCATAGTCAAGTAAGTTGATGTACAGTGACGAGTTCCATTCAATTGATTGTTCAACGATGATCTGTAGTGTCGTGTTTTGGTCTGTGTACGACCAATCCTTGCTGAATTTAGCCTGTTGAGTTCAAAGATGGGTGTCTACCGAATCTTTCATTTGATACAGCAACACTGTTGAAAACCTTTTCTGGTACCAATATTATTGTGATGCTTCTGTAGTTCTCACAACTGCCCAAGTATCCTTTTCTTCTCTGTAGGTAATTGCTCTTCCTCCGACGTCTTCCTCAATAGTTTATGCATCATCTTTGCAGTAACGTATATGTCTGACTTTAGTGCTTCAGTTGGTGCATTGTGAGGTTTGTCTGGTAGCCATCCCTATCTTTTCGATCGTTGGTGGAGTGACATCTAAAGGGAGGTCTGTGTGTGCTGCTTCGATATTCAGTGTATAAACAGTTTGTTGAATGCACATAGATTTGTAAATCTTTCCCCATTTTCTTTTCTCCCTCCTAGCCCATGTCTTTCCATGATATCTCTATACCCGGTGCTGTCCATTCCGACTTTAACGTTCAGATCTCCCATTAGAGTGATGATGTGCTTTCTACGTTATGACTGATTACAGCCTCTCACAGAACTTATCTTCGTTGTTGTTGTTCCTATCATTGGTGGATGCATAACATTCGATAACATTCATTATGATTCCCTTCTTCTTTGTCTTAAAAGATGCTCTGATGATCCTGGATCCGTGAGATTTGCATCGTATAAGTGTATTTTGTGCTTGTTCGAACAACATCAGAGTAACTACCTGAGTGTATGGAGAATATTTCACTTCGCAACTGGAGTGCAGCAGCATTTATCTAGAATTTATCATTTTCTGTTCAGCTTGAGTTCAGTGGGTTTCACTGGATCCGACTACAACATTGTTGTGTCTCCTTATTTCAACAGCTACTTGATTGGTCATCCCGGTCTCCTACATTGTCCGGACATTCCATATACCTATATTATTTGATGCTCTGGTCGTTATGTGGGACATCCGCCTAGTGAATGCAGAAGGACGTTGGCTTTCACCATGACGCGTCATAATTCTTCCTAGTGAAGATCGTTTAACTCGGAAGGCAGAGTTTAAATGGCTGAATTTCGTTATTCTGGTTAGCTTTTTTAGCAAGGTTGTTTTCTATGGGGTGCGGTTGCTGACCCCAAACCCAACCCCCCTCCTCAGTGTGGGCTTGGGACCGGCAGAAGTCCTAAAAGAGCTACTGGAGTAATTTGACTTTTCATAGTCTGAGATTTAGACAGTTTGACTCCAACAAAATAAATATGGCGTAGTCAAAGAAAAATCAACTGGAAAGGTACTTGAATGAGGTTCAAATGGTTCAAGTGGTTGTGGACGGAATAGAACAAACTTTCGCTTAACAGGCTTCCGTGTCTAGTAGCAGGGGATAACCAAATCCTCCGGGCAGGAACCTAGGTATGTTAACAATGAGAAAGGAAAATAAATTGGTAAATCATAGTGTGATGCTGTCCTTGGTCCCTAAGAATAGGTCAAGTTGCCTCTTGAAGGACTCCTGCGAAGTCGCTTGGACTAGCTCGGCCGGCAGCGAATTCCAGCTTTTGACAACTCTTAAGGAGTAGAAGTTGTGTCTACATTCCGTTTTGCTATGTTGTGTTTCCAGTTTCTGGGTGTTACCCCTTAGGTTATTATTCGAACAGTTGGCTTCCTGTAAATGACTCCGACTAGACACCTCGAAGTACTAGACAATCTTACAGAGCACCATATAGATTCCTCAAGATTGTTAAACTCGAGGTTGTGAACTTGGTGCACCTCCAAGCAAGAATTTATGTATATAGCTACTTCGCCCCCAATTCCTGTTTTTCTGTCGTTGCGGAACAAAGTCATCCCAGGTAATGCTAACTCTTGGTCTGAGAACTGAGAAGATATCCAGGTTTCAGATATTCCTATCAGATGGGCCTTATTAGCGTTGCTAAGTTCACGTAATTCATCCAGTTTGTTTGGTAGACTCGCGGCGTTCATATATAAGCAGTTTATGCTTTCAATTTGGAACGCGTGAGCTTCGTCCTGTTTTTCTGTATGAGCCCTATGTGAATGGACAGGTAGCCCACCTATATGAGGTTTGCCGAAGTGGTAGGCCTGTCCTTTACACGTTTTTTTTTCATTTAGACAGTCCACAAGTGGAATGGTCAGCTCCAACTAGCCTTTGTGTTTGGTCCTAGCTTCATATGGCCTATCCGGGTGCATGTGGATTCCAGGTGGCAATCGACGTCTGTTGGCACGAAATGCTTCCAGAACTGCAGCCGCCATGTGAGAAGATGGGAAGGTTATCTTTATTAGACGGGGTCTAGGATCACCGTCCTTCTTGGCTAGTCTCGTCACATGCAGAGTCAGTATGTGTTTGAGCCTCAAAGACTGTTTGATGAATTTCCATTCCATGAGGGACTGAAGTTGTTAGATATTTAGAACAAATTTAAGTTAACCGAATTTGAATACTGGTTATTTAATTGAGGAGACGATCTTGAGTATATCCACTAATACACAAGCATGAAAACCCTTTGAATTCTTTTGGTTTATATTTCGGAGGAAAAATTATAAATATTCCATTTTAAACTACAGATGTGGAAGTGTTTCGTTAAATGTGAAACTACAAGTGTGTTTGTTGAGGCAGGTAGCTTAGACTTTGAAGGTGGTTAGAGGTAATTTCGGTTCAAACGGGGTTTTGTTTTAAACATCTCCTGTGCAACGACCGATAGCTCCGCGTTCCTTTTGGATTCGACGGATTCCTTATGAGAGTTTTCGTATTGAGGAATTGCGATGTCTGAGGTTTTATTGAATGACTCGGCTGTTAAGCAGGAGTATTTTGAAGACGAAGAGAGTCTTCTAAAGAGTGATGTATTTGATTCTGTACCTGAAACACTATCGGGTGAATTGACTGAGATCGGCTTCGACAACGGATGTCCTGGTGTTGTTGGTCGTGATCCTTACGGCGACCTATTTTTAATGGATCCTAATGACCTTCTCGGTGTAAGGGAAGAAGTTATTGGAAATGACACAAGTAACAGCCCGGAAAGTGTACCTGTATGTGATTCCACTATAGCTACAGCAGATGAATCTAACGACTCTTCTAATGAACGTGTCAATTTAAAGCGGAAAAAGACGAAAAATCGACACATTAACTTAACTAAACAGGAACCAGACAATCGCGAGCCTTCAGATCCTGACGATGGGGCGCAAAATATAAAGTACTCACGTTCTAAACTTCCATACACCCATCAATCAGTAAAAGTTGACCCTGAAACTGACTTGGGTAGGTAGTCTACATATTTAATATCTGTATACAGGAAATCTGCCGTACGTCGTATATGGCAACGCAGTTGAAAGTTTTAATGGGAAAAGCTTTTGATTAATCGCCGGTACTCTTCATCTGCTGGTCACAAACAAATTCATATCTTGCATGGACAACCACGTTATCGGCGCCATTTCCCTTTGGGTGCCACTGGAACAATTGGAACTCGATTGCTTCCTCAAAGTAAAATTTTAATAATTGTTTGTCGATTTGTGTATGTATCTTGGCGTCCCTCGTTATTACGCATCTTACTATTCATTACGTTAGATAAAACTTGTTGCGAAATTATTAACTCCTTTAGGTTTTTCGTGAATGCTGTAGTAGGTAACCTTTAAAACATTTGTCGCTGAAATCTTAGTATACTGAGGATTTTATGCATCTGTAATTATGGTCTCGTGATTTTCGAATGACTCGCCCTGAGACGATGTAAAATGCTCATATAACGGTGTCGGTTCACTTTTTGTACTTCGGAGACTAGACAAATGTTAACGTCTTGTTTTTGCAAGTAGCATTTTATCCCTGGTTATCTAAGCTGATGTGACAAGAACTGCGATTACACTTATCAATGTTCGAATTGCCTGACTAATGTCTCAAATTATAAGCTTTCGTAATAACCTTTAACTCAATTGGAGCTCGCGAGCAACAAGCCCAACTAATAAGCCTGATTTCACTTTTAGTCCTGTATACACAGGCAAATCCGCCACCAGCCAATGTCATCCTAGAAACTTCCATATCGCGCATTACTTACCAACTTTGAAGATGGGTTGGAAAGGTGATCAATTTACGATGTAGTCACATGGATAAAAAACTACATAGAACTGGCATCTGTCGTTCAACCATGACTACGTAGCTGGTCCAACTCAGTAGCTTAATATGTTGTCAAACGTGATACAGTACAGAATCCATTGATGATCCGACTCTAGTTTCTTCTTACATCATTCATAAGAGGAACCACCTTAACTGAAAGTCACGGTTGTTTTGTTAACTGAATCATCTCCTATTATACACCATTTTTATTTCCTATCTTCTTTTTCACAATGTTACTCCTGTATTTGTTCCACCCATTTTATTTTTGGTGCTCACTTGTGCACAAATGAATAAACTCAGTCTTAAATTTCGAGTTTTATTGCCATTTACTTTAAATCCTTCCATTTCATTCATCCTTTTGGATCAACATTCTGTTCGTTTAGTCACACTGTCATTAATGTTGCATTTGTTTTGGTTTCTTTGATTTGAAACTTAATAATTCTATGTGTGTGCTATTGTGGAGTTTAGCATTATAAACTAGCGCGCTTTAACACTATTTCCATGGACTACGGCTAAGTAAATATCTGTGCTGTCCAGACCGAATCGCAATGGAACTAAAGTAGTTCAATATTCTTGATTCTGTATTTCATTCTCATATATCCGTTCTAGGAATATTCATATATATATATATATATATATATATATATATTGGCGGTCCGTCCCTACCTTTTATTTTTCAGCTTATCGTTTCGGTGGTTCACAGTCATTCCAAGGACATTCTCGTGTAACTTTCAAGCGTTTTCCACAATCGATTATCCGACCTAGTATGGATGAATCTGAGACATTGTTTGTCGCAAGTCCTCGATTTAATGTTGCTAATGTCATTAAAAATGATACGTTTGCACCTAGTGGATCAGTTTTGACAGTTCTCAGTCCAAATGCAAAACATCAAACAGTGGCATGTCAGAACAACCAACTACCCACTATAGCCCCTGCTCCAGGATGTTTGGAATCCTCTGGATCTAATGACATTAATCCACCTGTTGTGTACGGATCCTCGACTTCTAGCAATATGCTTCGTACGGTGCCGTGCCCACATAAAGGTTGTGGAAAGCTTTTTCGTGACAATTCTGCTATGCGCAAGCATTTGCATACACACGGTCCACGGGTACATGTTTGTGCTGAGTGCGGAAAAGCATTTGTCGAATCTAGCAAATTAAAAAGACATCAACTAGTTCATACTGGTGAAAAGCCTTTTCAATGCAATTTTGAGGTGAGTTTTGGTATCATAAAGGTAGTTTTTGGATTCTCTCAAGGCAATATTTATTTGAAACAAGCTATACTTAGAACAATAAGCCACCAAGACTAACATCACACAACTAAATAACTATTGGAAATAAATAGAAAACAGAAAGCTGTGGCAAAAAAAGCATTTCAGTGTTCTTATTAAACGGGTTACAAAACCTCAGTAATGTTGCCAGCAAGAGCGGGAAATCCTTCAGAAATAATGATCAACCTCGAAGTTGTCAGATCCGTTCACCTTTTTAGACTCAAAGTTTCACATTGTCCAAAGCAAAATTCACACCAGTGTTGTATACCCGATAGACTAAAATCGAGGTAGTACTAAACACGTTCCAACAGATCATCATAGAGTGAGTGCAAAAAAAACGTCAATCCTATGAGAGTACTTTACACCTCAATGTTACAAAAATCCTGTTATACCTACGAATTTTAATCGCCATCCGGTTACTGAATTAAATAAATGTGCCGTGATATCACTTTTCACCAAAGCGTAACTTATTAAGCAAATATTGGTATATTATTGTTTCTCGACTGTCGTAACTCATATTTGTCAGTTGTCATTTATACTGCGGTCTACCTGCTTCTGTTCGACTAAATAATTCATGGGAAAGTATATCACCGACACTCATTGACAACTAGACTCAACCATGTTATTGGATACAGATTACCTGATTGGGGTACGCCTTTTTATCATAACTGGTGGTTACAGACTTTTAGTGACATGGCTGGAAATCATTTGCAGTGGCGCAGGTGAATCTATTCTTTGCCTTTACCCAAATCCTGAGATTCTAAATTCATCGTCACTTTTTTTGTTTCACTAATCTATGTTTTTTTCGAGTGGTATCTTCGATACCTATTCTTCCCTATTGCCACCACCTCTGCCATTCTGGAATCTGGCCTGATAACTTGATCTCTCTGTTCTGATAGGGTATAGCAATTTGAACCGACGAATATACGTCCAAGTCCTAAGTTGTGACTAACTGTTGTTTCACTTATAACTATCGACAAACGAACATCAACAACATAAACCTTTAGTTGAATGTCTCATACTTTTACACTAAGTGAAAAGAACATTGTCTCTACGACATCGGTCAAGGTGAGACTATGGTAAACAAGGCTAAAGGTAAATTATTCGTATTTTTTACTCAAGTTGCTTTCTAAAATTTTTTATGATAATCACATAAAATTTTGTGTTCGTGATAAAATTACCTTATCTCCTTATTTTGGTTGTAAATTGAAAATTTTCAGGGTTGTGGCAAGCGTTTTTCATTGGATTTCAATTTACGTACACATGTACGTATACATACTGGTGATCGTCCTTACATATGCCCCTTTGAGAACTGTCATAAACGCTTTGCTCAATCAACAAATTTAAAGTCTCATATTATGACACATGCCAAGGTCAGATACCGGTAAGTTTATTTTTCTCATAAACCAACTTGATTATTTCGAAGTATTATTTTTACGCACATCGAAAATGTGGCGACCTTTCTTGACTTTAATATCCAGTTAGCTTGATAACCCTGTTATTGCGTTGTTACATGCGAAAAAATAATCTTATTGTTTTATCATTATTTATGGTCTTTTGTGTTAAATAGAGGTCCTCGTAGCTCTTCAACAACTTCACAAACACCCGGCTACTTCTCTGAACTTGATGAACTGCCAATTTCTCAGCAGGCTTCGGTTGCCGATAATGTTAATGATTCGAATAAACCCTATCCTACTCCAGATAATGACGGAGAAAATAATGTACAAGTTAAAAGTACATCTCCTTTTATGGTAACCTCATCTAATTCTTCCAACTCAAAACCAACTTATATAAAGGCTCCTCGAGGTTATACTCGTCCAACCTCTGCATCACGGTATACTGCTCATGAATTGCCCCCACCTCCATATACGATTGATGAAACACCCTTATCTGTATCCACAGGTTCCAAATGTGAATTGCGAAATGACCCGTACATTATAGTACCAAAATATACATCCGGCAGGCGAAAACATTCCAAATCATTTGTCAATCCTAATGAAGATGATATTGATGACGATAATGACGAAGGTGAAGTAGAGGAGGAAGATTGTTTTATAAAACAAGAATTCGATCGTAGTTTCATATTATCGGATCCAGGTATGGGTTCCGCATTGTTCGTTGATCCTGCACAAGAAGATCGTGAAATGATATGGCGTACTAATGAATATCCCACTTTAGATCGTCTACATTTATCCAATTCATTTGGAAACTCAAACCACCAACCTATCATTATGTGTACGCGAGATCAACGTCGCAGGATAATTCAACAAAGTAATATTATGCCGGATTACATTTTGTGTCGTCAGCAAACAATACCTATCTTGAGATTGCCTACTCCTGCACGTACAGTGGTATCTTTAGGACGACCACAGCAGCAGTCCTGACATGTTTTTCATACTAGTACCAATTTTCAGCCAGTTTTACTTACTGTTCTCGTTCCAAGATCTCGTCTTTTCCTCTGTCTTGCTAAATACAATGAGTTTAAAGTAGGGATTTAACATTACTACTTTTGCAACCACACAATTAAGCCTTAAACTCATGTCTTGTTAACTATAGCAGTTTTCGTGCGCTTAAAGCGCATCTTGTACATTCACTGTTTCCACAACCTATTGAGTTGTCTCAGTTTATTTTGTCAAATTAGTTTCATTGTTCCTAAACTGTCCCCTTAGCATAAAATTGTACAAAACGAAATCGACTTATCTGGTCCTTTTTACAGAAATCTAAATGCTTGACACTAATATATTGTTTATTGCCGATTATTCTTTTCAAACACTTCATTGAATTTACTGGTCATTTCCTGCGCCTACATGTTTTCAGTCTTTTAATGTTTTCCCAGTGAGGTAAATCGTGTAGTGCCCGAGGGAACTCTTTTTTTAGTCTTCTATGTATACAGTTGTTTTTCATGTACAGACTTCCGGATAATCTGTGATTTTTTGAACTCAAGTTTAATGATGTATGGTTGTGGGGTCGATTCATATTTTCGACTCCTTGCAGTAATATTTATTGTACGACATAATATTTCATTCCTAAACAATAAGAATAATCAAACTATTTTATGACTCGTACTAAACAAATTATCACTTTGTTGTTTCCTCAGAACATACGTCGTCACAGTATGTTCGCGCTTTGGGAAAATACTTTGTCTTTACTCATCATTTTTTAACTGAATATTTTGCAGTTATTTTAACATGACTCTGTACAGTGAAAGTTCGTACTGCATACCTTTATACCCGTCTTGCTCGATCACTTATTACAATATTTCGTATTTAGCTCTGTGATGATCCAAAAGTTGGAACAACCTTAATCATTTAAACCCTGTGTATTGTCACGTAATGCTATGGAGTAGTTATTCTTCATTGAGTTTTGTTAGGCGACTTCCGGTGGGATCAAACTGATGGATATAGTCTTATGTTGAACCAAATGAGTTCATTTTCACCTCAGCAAGAACCTAACATAAATCCAAATGATACTGACGCCGCTTGGTTATTTTCGGCTCTCACTCTGAGGTTTTAAGTCTAGAAAATTAGGTTCCTGGCAAATCTAGTCTCATTGATTCCAAACTACGGTGTTTTTTAAGAAGGGCACTGACTGGATATAATCCTCATCATATGATTATGTGAATTGCACAAAAGCAACTGCTAAGAGATACGAATATATTGTCACTTTCATAGAACGTAAAGGATCTACAACTCGAGATTCCTCTCTTCAGCAGAGAAAATCGTAAATATGCATGTTAGGCACGGGTAAATACGCAACTCTTGTTGAAATTGATGCTAGTGCGAACGTAACCTGTGTATAAGTTTTTTTGTGAGAATGCTGTTGATTCCTGAGATGGTGGAAAAGACTGGCGGCACGTAGTGATGCCTTCTAATGCTCTTTATTTTCTGAGTCGGAAGATTTCTAGAAATCAGTAAATACCCTAACACAGACCGAATCCAAACCAATTAAATTATGAAGAGCTATACAATCAATAATCAAACCATAGGGAAGGACCATCTAGAAAATGCAGACTGTGCTGTCAAGTATGTCAACGGCACGAGCCGTTAGTCCCCTCGTGAAAAGATTGTAATAAGTCACTTCTCATAAAGCTTGTTTTGACATTGTCCAGAAATAATGAAAACTGCACAACAGAACTACAGCTTGGAGAATGACAAGTCAATACTATTAAGGGAGAATGCAAACAGGTTTGCATCTCAAGAATCGAGCTAATGGATAAAATGTTAGTGTTATAACTGACTTCCAACTGAGTGGATGCTATTGATCCCGCAAAGACCATGTCTACACTTGTGCTGACCACGCAGCTTGGTGCTATGGAAGAAAAGGGTGACGTCAAAAATGTTTTTTTATAGTGCATTCGTAATTTCCATAGATTTTTGGTGGGTATTCCTTAGTCCATATACTCAGTTTTCTGCGCCAAGTAAAAGGCAGTTCTAATACCAAGCGACAATTATTTATAACTAGAGACACGATATATGTGCCAGTATTAAAGATTTTAAACGCAACTTATAGCCTTCAGGTATTTCACGCATTAGGTAGACCCTTCTACGATGGCACCAAACTGTTGAGTTGAATGTTTTCAATCTTATAACCGACTTATAAAATCTGTTGGTTACATAAAGTGAGCTATGTGTATAGTACCTCAGTTTTCTCATAATACCATTCAAAAAAAGAAAGATGGTTTGGAAATACTCTGCTTTATGAAATTTACAAGTATATTTTAATGCAATCCCGCTAACTGGACTTATAATCATCTGATTCATATTTGTCCTCATCAAATTTGATATCCGATAGTTCCTTCACAATTAACTTATTCAGACTGTTTAGATGAATTTCTTCGTCAGCGTTAATATTACCTGACTCAATTGGTTTTTTATTGGACTGGGCCAAACGGAGAAGAGCACCTAGAGAAAGTTCACATGTTTCATAAATATAGATTACTCCTAATTCTCTTGAAAATACTGTAACTAGTAAAGAACAATCTTCAGACGGATAAGCATTTCAACAGTCATTAGATTAAATCTGTGACATATTTAGTTGGGAGAGACACACCTATCTAAAAGTAGGATTATTTGTCCTAAATTTCTTAAAGTGGTGGATCTGATTTATTGGTCGGATCAGCTTCTAAAATATCTTCAGGTAAATTAAAATACTAGAGATAGAAAATATAGACTGCAATAATTGTTGTTATAATCTGCACATAATGAAATGTATAATAATTTACGTTACCTCGATTACTTGAAAAACCCACTATGTTGCAGGTAACAAATGACGTCAGTCACAAAACCCAGTAATTATCGTCAGCTCCATGATGAAGTTTTAATCCGGGGATTTCCACATGGTTGCAGATGTATTTGGTAGTGTCAGTCAGTCACCTACAACGCACGTATATGCATCGGTCTAAGTTCCCATACCTCATTAGTCTCACGTTTTAAGGGAAAACGAAGAGTGTATACACCTGCGCCATTGTAATCCATTCTGAGCTATATCACCCAGTCTCCAACCACTGATTACGATAATCGCATGGACCCAAACCAAGTAGTCTGCATCTAACAACATGGCTAAGACCAGAAGTTAGTGACTTTATGGACTGGTGTCACGTTCTGGTTTGGCCGCTCCTAACTTCCTACCATCTCCAACACGCGTCGTGGTAATCAGTGTTCAGGCATACGTAACACGTGGCCCAATCATCTCAGTCGATGATGATTTACAACCTCACTAACTGACTTACCATCATTCCCTACTACCCTGAGTCTAACCTCACCATTACCTGGTGATCCCAGAAGAGGCAAGCAATATTTCTAAGAAAAATGTAATGAACTACTAGTAACTTACGAGTATCCTTTACCCTTAGTGGCATTGTTTCGCAGCTGTTAAGTAAAACAGAACGGACTGCTGCGCAGTATATTCGTCTCTTAATTGATAGACGGATATCTCGCTATAGGTGACGTAATTTGGCAAAAGCCGAACGATCTTTTCGAGTCCGTATAGAAATTTCGTCAGACACCAACCCATTAGGGTTGATCAAAGTTCCAAGATAAGTGAAGTTGTCGACGCATTCGACTACTTCACTCCCTATCCTTAGTTCAGGTGTTGACACAGGCCAGTCCTGAAGCAAGAATTTGCATTTAGAAGAGGAGAAACGCACCCCAAACACCCTGACATTGTTTCCTAATGCTATCAAAAGGTTCTGCATTTTATCAGCGTATTCACCAAACAGGACTACATCATCTGCGTATCCTAAGTCAATAAGTGGACCTTCTGGTAGGAGATCAATTCCCGAAAATTCAGTCGACGACAACGTTATTTCCAGCAGTAGGTCTTTGATGAAAGTGACCGAAAATGGAGGTTGCGAAATTAGATGACACACTTCGCCGTAAGCACTGACTCGACTGGTAGTGTTCGAGTAAAGAGCCTTCACGAGGTTTATGTACTACTTCTGAGGTATGTCTTCCAATGACAGACTGCCATAGAATCTTCCGGCCAACAGAGTCAAACGCTGCTTCTAAGTCAAGAAAAACCATCACTGTCGGACGAATAGTGAATATGTAGTCGATGCAGCCACTACCAAGTCTGAAGCCAACCTGGTTTTCGCGTATTTACAGTTCATGAGTCTTTGTTAAACGTCCGATAATTATTGAGGCCAGTATTTTAGATGCCATATTAGTCAAGCTAATCCCTCTATGGTTATCACAGGATGATTTTGATTAGGACGATCAGTGATTGCAACCAGTTGGAAGGGATTACGTCCAGTTCCCAGATTTTAACTGGAATACTAGTCAACCTAATCGCTTAAACTGTACCACCATGCTTAAAGACTTTTGGAGATAATTCATCTGGACCAGCTGCTCTTTCTTGTCTCAGACTAGCTATAGCTTTTCGGATTTCAATAAGAGTTGGGAGCCTATTTCGATGTTCCGTTCCGGCTGTTTGGAAATGGTTCTAGTGACTATTCACGTGTCTAGATACTCTTGAGAATATAGTGCAGAGATATTGTATATCGTTCGCAAAAATCACCGGAACGACTTTTTTCCGTTCGAGAGAATAAATATCTGTTACTTGTACTTTATTCTAAATAAAACACATGGTCCAAAAGCAGGTTGTAGGAAACTAAAAAAGTGACTGGAATGTAATACGATAGTGATAGGTATTTTTTAGCTCCAGTTTTCCTATTTGTATGAACAACTGGGAAGCTTTGTTACGATTACCGTTTTCTCAAGAATTTAATAACGAACAGCATATATAAAACCCAACGCTCAAATAAGAACGTCCTGGTACATCTAAAAAATAACTTACGGCGTTCTCTCTCACGAACATTTTTCAAAGCATCAATAAATTGTTGGTTAATATCTTCTTGATTTTCTGTAGCACTAAAAAAGGGAAAGGGATAAGTTACCTATTGCAGATTATGCCGTATTGTAATTGACGTTCCTTGCTGATTGGTTATACCAACAGCTCAGTAATTTTTAATAAATCTCTCTTAAGGAATGTTATGCCACATATACGAAATAACTAAAGTATTGTCAACATCGAAGACATTGTCTCCTGACACAAACATCGAATTTACACTAATATCAACAGTAACTAAAACAACGTGCGAAAAATAGTTATAACGCTGAATCTGTCTTACATAACAATTTATTGCTTAGTTTTGAAGGTGTGTTCGATGCACTTTTCTAGACTACACTTCTGCTCCTGTTCTAAGACCTTGTCAAACAAGCTTGCTGCGATGAAAAATCAAGTTCTGTAAGCCAGTCCATCATAAGCAACGTACAACCAGACACATCGATTCAAGTCCGTACACTGAGCAAGCAAAACAATATGAAATTATCAAATTATTATCAGTAACAGTTAAAAAGTTCTGTATAACATGACTTGGCACCTCTCACTAAAAGCACATGTAAAATGCGTGTATGATTTTATTGTATGTACGAAGTTCTTCCTGTTATGATTGCTTTGAAATTAATACGTTTCCAGCAAACATGAAATAATAGCTTCTCCTTAATATTCTGACTGTCGACCCCCTTAACTTTCAAAATGTATTCGAGACCTGGATACAAAAGAGACAGAGGTCCTAGAGCCAGACGACTCTCTTATAAAGACTTACATTTACTATTGTTAGCTTTATTTATTATTTTTCCTAGTCTTCTTATACTTTGCTGACATTAAGAAAAACTCCGTACTTAAGTTATTTTGTCAAGAGGCACTGGTGAGTACTAAATTTCGAGATTTATCAATTCCTATAAATTACTTGTGTACTTCTGCAATCTTTTCCTGTACTTTCCCGGAATTTTAAAAGCAACTGCCGTGTCACTAGTGACCTTGGATGGTGCTATTGAGGTTATTTTTGAGCCTTCAAACTAAAATGGTTGTATGCAGACAATTGGAATTTACCTATCATTTTTGTATCAATTATAAGTTATTCAGTATAGTCAAAAACCTTTTCTTTGCATGTCTTTTAAAACAAGATACAAGTACATTAGGGCCCATGCAAATGATCATGGTAAATGAATACTTTAAAGATGCTGAGTGTGTTCAGCAATCAGTGTTATTTCTAATTTTTATCACTATTTTTGATACTTATGCTTATCGCTGTAAGGAGGATTTGTTAACCGTAATGAGTATTATTTCGGTGAACTGTTCCTTACAGAGGACATTCATATCACTTTCAACCACCAGTGATCATAAATACTATGCTTAATTAAGGGAAATACTTACCCGAAGGTAATCGATCCATCCGATTTTCCACACTTAGAGCAGATTTTCAAAGCACTTGAACAATCTGTACAGATTGTATGGTAGGCTTGCTTTACAGTCTTCCCGTTACACTTCACACTATCAGGATAGAAATGAAATAACGATACAGTGAAACTAATTCCCAATTTTTGCTGAATAAAGACGGCTTCCTTCAGTTATTCAATCAAGCAATTACATTATTGAAAACAACAATAAGACTATTAACAATCCAAACAATAGGTTTCAAACAGTGAAGTTTGGCGAAGTTAGTTTTGGTGTAGTTAAAATTTAATTTTATAATCATTCACATCAAAAATCTATACCATCACATAAAGTAACATTGATTAACTCTCGTTAGAACTAATTCGTTCTCTTATTTCTATCATTGTTTTGTGGAAACGCTCCCAAAAGTAACACAATCATCATGAATTGACCGATTGCCAAAATATTATTTTACCAACCTAGAATGTACAAGGTGGTTTAGACTGAGGAAGACGGTAAATACAGCGAGTAATTGCGTAACTAAGTATGTAGTTTTATGGCCTTTACTTCAAGTTGTATCCTTTGCTTAGGGGCCAGTGATTCTATTCGACTATCTGAACCAAAATAAGAGGATTAGAATTTTCTTTCCAGCCTGAAAGTCGAAAGCCATGTTGTAATCAATGAACCGCCCATCTTGTGTAGCAGCTCAAAAAATGACTGGTATGCATTTCTCGGCAATCGTCAGTGTCCAATTCAAAAACAGTAGCGAATCGGAAATAAGAGTCCATTTATATTTCAATCACATAAATTTCAGTGATTCGCCTGCTGACAAAATCTTGGCACAATTACTTAGTTTATTTGCAAAGTAGATAAGATTTCTGTCATTGTATCAAATAGTAAAACAGCTCCCTGCATATCACCTAACTGGTGTTAAACAACTGAGGCAAAGGACTCGAATGCATTCAGAAATGTATTGCACATGCTCTAGAAAAAATGCTAGTTTATTAATAATTCACCGAGTCAGGTAGAACATTCAATAAATGGGTAAATTGGTTCAAGAAATTATGAGTTTTCATCAAATGAGGTAGCTGATATTGTTGTCGATGCCCACAAACAGGGGTAGTTTTAGGGTATTCTCCTTTGGTTCCTCACAATTATAGATAACATGATCTTTGGATCCACGTATTCCCTTTAGTCGTACGGATACGAAATGCAAAACATACGATACATATGCGCTTAGTCTTCTACTATTGGTATACCTGAGGTCAACAGGCACGGAACACTAGAAATGTTGACAGGTTTCATATCTGGGTTATCGGTGTATTAATAAATCCCCTGCTAAGAAATAAGCTTAGTTACAGGCACTTACCTATATCCATATTTTTATCTGAGGGCACCATCTGCTTTTATTGTTCATGAAGCCTTATACCAGTGCAAAACAATTTATTGTCAAACCAAACTCCACACTATTAATCACAGTAAATTTTCTGAATAGCTTTTTTCATAAATTCTCAAATTTCTCTTTATAAACCATCACTATACACTTCTCAAGACAGCATGATTTTTCGGAAACTCCTGACTCATAGGTTTATCGACAGTGCCTCAAATATCCTGACGAGTCTTGTCAGGTTAGTGACCTAAAAGAATGCTGTTTTGAGGGACGCACTTAGTAAGTTGCTACTATGAAAGTAGTCAGATTTACCAGAAAGTAACTGAAAACTGCATTTTTCATCTGAAGAACCACCAACTATTCCAAATAACGCCTCAAAAGATCCCATTTTATATGAGAGAACCTAACTGCATAGAGTACATCAAAACTTAAAATAAAACTAGTTAGGGAAAATAACTGACTTTACTACTATATACAAAACTTTCACACTACAACTAGATATCAATCCACTAAAAAACCGAAGCAACCAATTATTTATAATTAAACTGTACCTACTTAGTTTTTCCATTTGATGAATTTGGAGAACCATTTAAACAAGATAGTATGTAACATGTAAACTTCATCGTACTTTGATTAATGATATTCTATCTGAATGAGTCATGAGCTTTCTTAGCTTTGAGCTGTTCTAATTTTATCAGATACACCTTATCTGATGAACACGTTTTTAACAGTTGACTGAATAAAGTTCTGTAGAAAAGCCTTTGCAACAAAGAGAAAAATACTCTTCCCAGATTTAAGATAAAAATACGAAAAGCAAATCAGTACCTGCAGAGTAAGTATTTAGACTCAGAAGAAATAATTGTACGTAATAAATGAACCTTGACGGTGAACCTTAGAATACGAGGATATGAATGAGAATAAATAACTGAGGTAAATGATAAATAATATTTGTATTTTTATCATAAGGTAAACGATTTTTGAAGTTACAATTTCAAAAATCGGTTAACATGTAAACATATTTACAAATACGAATTACAAAACATTTCCTGATACCCAATAATGAACGGGGTAACTTAACGGGTTATTTGAGACATGATATAAAGGATGGTTTTTTGGAAGTTTTTCTTCTGATAAACAGCGTTATCAGGCAACGATATACCGTTCATATATAAAAATGTTAGCCAACTTACCAAACTCTAGGGTTTGCTAATTGATGATACTTTTTGTATTTGACTCTCCACTGCACAACACCTGTACATCTAGGACACAAAAAGTCGAACGTCAGATTGTTGAGACGTTTGATTTCTTTAGACGTATCATGCAAGTTGTTTTTAAAAGCCTTAGTATTCTTATGTTTCTGAGGTCGTGTGCGCTGAGTGTTACCTTTCTGTGAACTCATATCCTAGCATACAGATAAATTGGCCAAAATCCTGAAAGAAAGTTTGACACGATCCGGAAGACTGAGATACAACGAATAAAAGTGCTTGGCCTACAAACTGGATCGCGCTCTCCTTCACACGACCTTGTGCGCTTTCAGTTTGGAAAAAAAATGAGGTCAGTTAGGAGGAAAACGGTAGTTTATTCGACATTCTGGAAGAAATGCATAAAGTCTAGTGATGTTAAACGAAAGCTTTACGAACTGAAAATGGTTTGCGTCTCTATCTTTTGCTGTGTTCTTACGCAACAACAGTATCATTTCCGACCCAAAGAATATTTCTTGAGATTCATTTTTGGTAGATTACTTTTTTCTTTGAGTTTTACCTAAGTTAATAGTTGACTGTGGTTTTGCATCAGCCTGCTGTTCGCTTCTTAACACTTTTCAACGTCAAGTCTAGTTTTAGCATTTCCTAACCTTTTGTACCACCTGTTTTTATCCATTTTACGTGCAGTCTTTTGGTTGGTTTGCGGTCGTAAACTGGCTAGGATCTATCTAAAATCTCTCATAACACCATGGTTACGAAGAAATTACGCAAGCGAATTGGATGCCATTAATTTGACGCCTGTGCTACCAAAAATCATGGAAAAATCATCGACATACAGCTATTATCATCTTTACTTTCGGCTAGCCTGATTAGCCCATCCCAACATGGGTTAATGACTAGACGCTCATGCTTCACATTGCACCTGCACTCTTTTGGTAAAATTACCCAGTGAAGAGATGCTGGCCAGTCAGTGATAATTCTGTACATCAATTTCAGCAAGGCTTTCGACAATGCCCCACACAAAATTCCTCTTTTAAAACGTTCTTCATTTGGCATACTAAATCCCCTCTCATCTTGGCTCAAATCTTTTTTATCAGAACGTAGCCAAATCGTCCGCTTTGGACCTTGCTACTCTAAACCTATGAAATGTAACCAGAGGGGTTAAGCATGGAAGTGTGATTTGTCCATCATTCTTTCTTCTTTTATTCAATGATGCGTGTTCCCTCTTTCATTATCGTGAGCCTGCAATGGCATTTGGCCCTAACCACACAATCCTCAAAGCTGAACACGAGACACTTAGGAAAATAGATGTTCAACCCAACGATTGAGAAGGTGGGAACAATGAATGAATTGAATTAGTTCAAATCCATGAGTTGGCATGGCTCGGCCTTGCAGGCGCGGTCATTATTGAGTGTTAACACACACCTCTTATTCACAATGAATATATTGTTCTATCTCTAGCCTAAGCGTGTTTTTCATACACTGATGATTTTTACAACGCCATGAGTTGGTGTAAATAATAATGTGACATCCATGTAAGATCTTATAGATCAGGCAGTTACATCATAACAAATCTAGAATTCAGGGACTAAGTCTGTTATTAGGGCGGTACTAACATCATAGTATATCATAATCCAACACGCCTTTCCTTTTTGCCGATGACCTAACAGTGGTTTATTCGTCCTCTCCTCCCACCAAATAAAACCATATTTCAGCGATAATCCAAGAAGAAATAAGAAGTTTTGTATGAATAGACTGTTTCGTAGAATCCACCACTTAATGTTCAAAAAGGTGGATTTACTCATATTGGCCGCTGCCTTGACCTAAATCTGGATATACACAAACATACGCTGAAACTTCTCAAAACTGTTCGTGACTTAGGTTTGAAATATGGCGATAATTTGAACTTTTCCGAGCACATTGCATCTCAAGTATCCAAACCCAGAAAGCCCATTGAATTCACAATGATAAACTTCAATAATGTCGAATCGAGATTATTATTATACAGAAAATGTATCTTACCCATTCTTGAATATAGTATTTTAGTTTACAGTAACTGCAAGCATAATGACCTGATTGAAAGTGAAGGTGTTCAAAGAAGGTTCACCAAAGCTGTTTTTGGGTATTCCGACAACAATTACAGTCAGAACCTATCTGGATCAAGTGTATCAAACTAAAGTTTGTCCTTATCTACCGGCTTATAAACGATATTTCATATTATTCGGCATCCATTCCTCCGTACTCTGTGGTATCATACCACAAACTACGCAGTAATGAAACCATTCTAGTGATTCAGAGAACTTACATAAACTTTTTTCTCGTTATTCGCCACCCAACCATACGGAACAGACTGCCAGTGAACACCCGTTGAAGTGGAACTATAACCAGGTTCAGAAGTCTCCTTGGTAGTTTTCTTTCAGAAAAGTGGATTGTTTCACCTACTGGATATCAATATGTTTAACAATCATTTCTATTAAACAAGATCCGTCATCTAATTGACTGAAAAGCAGAATGTAACCTTTGAAACCTTTCTCGTTTATTGTATTTCGTTTCCTTCCTATTCATCTTGGTATATGAAGTCTGCTTATGTTCATATTTATAATTCATACTGCCATTATCATCATGATTGATTTCTCAACACATTAGACATCCTTTTCGTCTCTTCTTTTCGTCCTGAACATCCAAAGAATATAATTAAAAACAAATTATCTTATGTTACACTTAGATAAATCAACTTCTCAGACTTATTTTATCTTATGGTGATTTTTGTAACGACAAAATAAAAACCGCATTTTTTCTCTAATTTGTCACACTTTATATAATACCACATTTTTATTCAATGTCTATTGTTTTCCCTTGTCACTTGTTAAGAAAGTATTTTAATTGTTTGGACTTATATCCGAATATACTAAAGCGTTGATTAAAAAAATATAAAAAGCTATCTACGCCGTCTGTTCTTCTGCTTCATTGGCCACGGCCTTTGATTGAAGACTATAATAGTGTTATGAAGTCCTTTTAGGCCTTGTTACACTACGCTTAACTTTGGCACGAATTATTATTAAATAATCCCACTGGATTCAATCTTTCTCATTACGCCGTTGGTGCCACCACGTGCAAAGGTATCTTCGTTAATCGAGCGAACTCATTTTTGGTTGTTATCTAAGAGGGAGGCTTACAAGTAACATCCATGTCATGATAACTGTTATTATCTTGTTGTTTAATATACCACTTGTATTATAACTGTAATTTGTTAACTTTTGATTTTGCACATAGACCTAAGGTTTTACCGTTAACTCTTTTGGTATGTTATTAATAACTTTGCGTATTGATATATCTTGAATATGCTCTTTTGCTGGGATCCACCGCAATCTTCACCATATATATATAACACATAGAAACTTATATTTGATTATCCTTTGCAATTAGTTGTGACTTTCATAGCATCATTCTAAATTATTATTGCACAAATGTTTATACGGATATCACGTTTTACTCTATTCTATTACATAAATTTACATGTATTCACCCGAATGCACTAAAAACTGAAAAAAAATTGTGGTTTCCTTCAGAGGTCGATTTTCATTACACTCTTATTATCATGATAAAGCCTTTCACTAGGTGTTCATTTCTTTTCTCTCTCACTTTCTTCCTCCTAAATAAATACTTTTCTTAGGATTCAGGAGCTTGTAATTAACACAATAACCTGCATCACACTTAAATTAACTTCTCATACTTTTTATACCTTCACTGTGTATATATGACTTATATATACTTGTAGAATCCAAACTATGGTTTGGACTGAAGAATAGCCGTTCTGGTAGGTTAGACACGCGCCCTTGCCTGTCAAAATCAAAACAAGTAATCGGGTAAATGACGGTTCTATAATTCATCATAAATTTAAATGTAGATCGTTGCCTAAACAAATATTACCACCCGGCTATTCAACCAATATTTGTTCAATCAATCAAATCTAAATTACAATAAATATAGAAGTTGATAAAAGATGCGGGAAAATTTACCAGTCACAACAAATGAACGCTATTCTATCCTGACTGGATAGAGCAGTCAGTCAGTCAGTAACAACGTAGAACTTCGTACGTACGTACATCAGTTCGAGTTGCCACACCACATTAGCACAGAGATGCACTTGTCGATTCAAATCCCGTCGTGGTAGAGGTAATAAGAGTATAAGCAGTAATCGGGAAGATTAGGGTTTGGAGATGTTATTTAAAGAGTATAATCCAGTGAAAGAAATTTGGAAAGAGGAAAAAAAGGGACATGAAGAATTCAGAAGATTAGAATTTGGGAGAACACAGAGAGTGGATGCACCTGCGCCATTGCAAACGATTTTGAGCCATGTCATTCAGGGTCTCTAACCATCGGTTGCTGTCATCTCGCGGTCCCCAACCAGGTAGTCTACACCTACCAACATGACTCAGTTCACTTGTCAGTGACTTCATGGACTTGTGCCATGTTTTGGTTTGGCCGCCCCTAGCTTTCTTCCAACCTACTCCTATACCACTGAACATAGCACGTCGAGGCAGTCGGTCGTTGGGCATACGTAACACGTGTCCCAGCCATCTCAACTGATGAAGTTTCACTACGTCATCAATTGATTTGCCATCCTTACCTAGTACCCGTTTCCTAACAACTGTGTTACTTACTCGATGGTCCCATGATATATGAGCAATGTTTCGAAGACACCTATGATCAAATACTAGTAACCTACGGATATCCTCTACTCTTACCGGCCATGTTTCACTGCCATAAAGTAGGACGGAACGAACTGCTGCGCAGTAAACACGTCCTTTGGTTGATAGACGGATATCTCGCCTACGCCATAAATGACGCAAGTTGGCAAAAGCTAGTCGAGCCTTCTGTATCCGTGCTGAGATTTCGTCACACACTAAACCACAAGGGCTGATGAGACTTCCAAGATAAGTGAAGCGGTCGACACACTCAACTACTTCACTCCCTATCACTAGTTCGGGTGTCGATGTAACCCAATCCTGAAGCAACATTTTGCATTTCGAGGGAGAGAATCGCATCCCGAACATGCTTGCATTGTTGCTTAGAGTGGTCAGAAGACTCTGCATTTTGTCAGTGTCTTCACCAAATAAAACTATGTCATCAGCATATTCTAAGTCAACAAGTGAACCTCCTGGTAGAAGTTCAACCCCTGTAAATTTAGATGAGGAGAGTGTTATCTCTAAAAGTACGTCGACCACAAAGTTGAACAAGAATGGGGAGAGTGGACAGCCCTGACGAACACCACTTGAGGTGATCAATTCTGATGACAGTTCGCCATAAGCTCTCACTCGACCAGTTGTGTTCGAGTAGAGAGCC